CGATGAGGGCAGGTCCCTGATGAACATGAGGTATACCCTTTGAGTTTTGGCTCTCTCCGCCTCCACGAATCACCGGGCCCACGTGCGGAGGGTCTTGGATTATCATGGTATTTGCAATTGCATGATCTAGAGACGCGAATTCCGAAATGGCAGCAGCAGATGCCCCTCGCGCCCTTATGGACCACCATCTGCCGTGTCAAAGAGCCGTGGTTGGGCAGTCGATGAGGGGCTTATCAACAACCTTTCGTATACCGGGATGTATGGTGGAGCACTTGGCCATCACGGAGGGGCAGGTTGGATGCGACAGCAGCTTATACATGAATAAAGTCTACTCTTATATTAACCCCTCGTGAGTAGGTCGCGGGGTGAGGCCTTTTTCTATTTGAAAGGTAACTAAAAGATCTTGGTTGGCAAAATACTACCTCTTTACTCGTTGAAAGAAAGGCAGCCATGGACAAGGTCACTCTCCTCACAGTCTCGCGCGTGGACCGTCAGGTCGCCGCGATGGCTCCCGTCTCCAACATCTTGAGCCAGGCAACTCCAGCATTCATCCTCGACGAGCGATTCCAGAAAGCTATCAGCACTTTGACGGTTACGCTCTACTTCCAAACCCGTTTCCTCGCGGCCACGACGTTGTACGCAAGCCGAATCTTGGCTGTCCAGGCCTACTTTGCGACTACCTTTGGTGCAGCGATGTCGAGAAAGCTCCTCGCTGGTATCTGGGACTCTGCAGCGGTGCAGCGCCTGCGCAAAAAGATGTTTGAGGACTTCGCCAAGTGGATTCTGGGCAGCGGAAACACCATCTTTTGTGCCCTGTTCTGGCCAGGTTGGTGGGTCATTGGCTGCGCAGTGTTGGCAGTGGCCCAGTTTGGCGGTTGAAGGCGTTCTATGATGATGATGTCCAGGATTGCCAGATCAATTACATCACAGAACGCAGGATATCGATCGCCACGACGGCTGGACGCTGCATTGGCTGGATTGGCCTTGTACTCCTCGGTTTGAGAGCCACATGTTGCATGCGGAATCACCGTGAGAAGAAGAGCGTGTTGCCACCAGCATCACGTCGGACCTCAGACGTATAGTCCTTCTCCGGATCGAAGTCCTGCCACGTACTGGCTGGGTATATGTGCTTGTTCCGCTCGTACCATCGGCGGTCGACGACTTTGGTCAACGTGGGATCATCATTCGCTCCCTCAAGTGTGCTGATATCGGCAAGCTTCTTCGCAGCCGCCGCCTTGACCTCGGCCGCGGTCATGAGACCAGCATCGACGGTTTCTTCCCGCGGTACATTTTTCGGCGCTTCGGCGCTGTAGTTGAATATCCGTTGGCCGCCAGGGCCAAGACTCTTGTTGACGAGGAAGTAGTAGAAGTCATAGTGCTAGAAAATGTCAGTCAGACATGTAGACACACCAGGTAGAAAGCAGCTAGACGAGATAGAAGATAGAGTAGTTAGACTTACATGAGGAAGAATGACAGTTCCACGAACCAGTATCAGATCATCTACACCCACTCGTGCCCACGTCCTCGTCGCATTCGCCTTCTCGCCCACCCCGAGCTCGGCACCGACCTTGCGGCTCTTGTCGAGGAAGAACCAGACAAAATCGCCCTTCTTCACGCGGACGGTACCCCCCGGGATGTTGGCCCCGTCGTAGAAGATGAACGGGATCGCAATCTCCGTGGCCTTGACGGCGTCGCGCTGCGCAATGAACTCCTGTCGCAGCGCTTCCCGCTCCGCCGCCTCCTTGCGCAGCGCCGACTTGGTCACGGCCTTGGGCACCACGCCGACCGAGGCATTGGCCTTGAACTTGCTCTTCGTCTTCTTCTCTTCGCTCCCGCCGTCCTCGTCCTCTCCCTCCTCTTCATCATCGTCCCCAAAGGACAGGAGCTTCTTCTTACCGCCCTGCTTCTTATTCTTCACCTTCTTCCTCGGCGGCGCGCGGCCGGGTTGCTGCTGCTGCTGGTCGTCGTTGTTATCACCGCCCTCCGACACGTCGGGCGTGCTGTTGCGCGTGGAGACGGTCCCCGAGCGCAGGGCGGGGGAGGAGGCCTCGCGCGACTCGCGCTCCTGCTGCTCGAGGACCTCGGCGCGGCGCTTGCGGAAGTCGGAGAGCTTGACGAGGCCGACTGTGTTGCTCGAGAGGCGCTCGTTGGTGGTCTTGTTCTGGACGGTCTGGGAGGTGAAGCGGGAGGGGTTGGAGGGTTGGTCGGACATTGTGTCGCGTCGCGGGAGGGTGTTGACGTGCGCGATCGAGGATGAGGGGCCAAGAGAGAGGTTGATTGATTTGCCCGTCGGCTGTGAGGACGGGAATGCTGAGAGCGAGGCAAAGCTTGTTGTGTTGTTGAACCTTTGGCGGATGGGAGAATTACAGTGGGGCTTCGGTGAGTCGCCGGAGTTATCGATAAGTTCGAGCTCTTATCTCAGTTTCAAGTTGGGAACCCCAATGCGGTAACCGCCGCCGCTTGTCCCAGAAGCATGGGTGATAATAAATATAGCAATACGAGGGACCATGGCCTTGTTATTCTTTGATTTGCCTTGTAACTACAATATATGTCAATGGATCGTCTTTGAAGTGATAGATGTTCTTAATTCTATATTACTTGCTGTGTTCATTGTCAGAAACGAATGTTGGTGGCGTGTTGCATTCTGTTTTTGCAGTAGCACTTGCTATCACGACCATGGTTGAATCTGCTTCTTAGATTGCCAACAATTCTTAACAGACTGCACAGCAAGAAAATAAACACCAATTATTGGTATTGCTAACCCTTTGCCTACATTTGGCCATTAGCGACCTTTTTTGAACCTAGGTAGTGTCTCGATTGACCATGTCCTAGCTGCAACTAAGAGCCCGTGTGGCATAGGGTAGCAGGGCTGAGAGATGCACAGAGAGATCAGTCTTGCACCTAATGAACCTCATGGAGCGACACTCATGTTTGTCTGGCTCGTACTTGTTTGATGACCTGAAAATAGGATTGATTTATGCTTGCAAATAGCTGAGACTAGTGATACTGATACTGTGCTCTATCAAGCCTCACGGCAGCCCCGACCCAGCTCTCGTAGCTTGTCCCACCAGCGAGTTGGTCGTGTTGTCCGCATATCTCTTGTACGCGGCAAGGTATCGCTCATCGTCGCTCCACGTCTCCCTGACGCTGGGCCTTTCCGTCACCGCTTTGAACCAGGCCCTCCACCTTCCCCAGACTTCATCGTCGCCGTCTTGGCCCTCCTGTGGAATCCCCACGCCCCCATTCTTGTAGTGGTCAATCAACCACAGTCGCTTCGCCCACGGCGCCAACGAAATGTCCACCAGACTGAACGTCTCACCCAAGAAGAACGGCCCGGTGCTTGACATCTCCTTCACCAGTGTTCGAATGTGCCCTAGAAACTCCCTGCGCGTCTCCTCAATGCTCAGGGCGCTCTTCCCGTCGGTATGCTGCAGCAGCTTGTAGAACCCAGGTATAACCCTCGTAGATACATGGTCAATCCACAGTCTCGCCCGCGCTCGCTCATACGCACTCCCGGGCAGCAGCGGCCTCCCGTGCACCGCCTCGTCCGCGTACCTCTCGTCCAGGTACTCGCAAACAACGCTGCTCTCGTACAGCACGGCCCTCGGCGGGTCCGGCAGCCCCAGCGCGGGGATGAGCCCCCGCGGGTTCAGGGCCAGGAACTCGGGCTCCTTCTTGTACGGGTTGACCTCGACGTACTGGTGGTCGATGTTCTTCTCCACGAGGGCGATCCAGGCGCGCTGGACGAAGGGGCAGAACCAGCCGCCGTACAGCTTGAGGGGGTGCTCGGCGCTGTGGCGGGCTGCGAGATGGGCTGCTGCGCCGGTGGTCTGGGGGGGGATTGAGGTGTCGACGTTGGCCATGGTGTTTGCTGTGATGTTTCAGTGATGGGGATGAGGCAAAAATTAGAGTGAGGGGGAGAGTAGCGAGGGAATGATGGTAAATGTAGTGTTTCCCCGCGGCAATCATGACGTGATGGTGGGTTGCCTCCGATATGGATTTTAAAATGCCATCCTCATGGGCGCACCTGGACTGTGGATGAATAATTCCGTTTATTTGACTGAAATGGTATGATCTATCAGTGATGTCAAAAATCGCCAGTCGCTATCACCTTTGCCTTCCATCTATGTGCTCATACATGACGAGCGTTTGGTCGATGCGTTGGTGTTTGGCAATCAGGCAAGCATTCAGTAAGGTACTGTGACATTTAACCACTGACTGTTGTGTGATACCGTATGTAGGAAGCAATGCACGGTTTCATCAGCAATTATCCGCTGGCGCAGATCTGCCAGAGGCCCGATACAGCAGTCATGGTTGATATGGTGAATGTCTCACCCCGAGCTGGTTGGTACACTACGCGGTAGTGATCTGGGAGCAGCCAATCGGTGTTTCGAACGATATCAAATCGATATTTCCTGTCGCTGAAAAATGGGCATTGGACGGGGCTGGATCTGAGACCGCTTGCACTTCGTATATGTGGGCAAGCGTATTTGACAAAGCGAAAATTGCCGTCGGGAAGCAAAGAAGAGCAGAGAAGTTAATGGAATGAACAATGGACGGCCACCTGCATCAAACGAGGGTTAATTGCACTCTCAGACACTCCACAGCTGCGGATGTGTAACTGGATTTTTGCGTGTCCAGCCGGTAACAAGTGCGATCCCTTCGGCTTCTGACGCGGCAGTTTGAAGTGACGGCTGCAGGTTGATCAGCGCGTGATTGTTTAGTGGCATTGGTTGGCCTCCTGCAGCTTCTGCCGTTTTCTTGACGCAAATGTTGTCGACCGCAAAATCTCCTTTTTGTTGAGGCACAATCATTTCGTAAAACGAGCTCCCCCAACTTTCTCGTCTTCACCGATCTTCTTCTTTCTTAACTCAACTCCATCATCTCCTCTGCACACTCCTGTTGCTTACCCTTTTGCATCAAGATATACAGCCTGCTTTATTTTCATTTACACTCTTTTTTATTCTTTTGTATACACTGTTAGATCCATCTGCCTTGCCATGGCACCAGTTACTCCCACTTCCTCCTCCTCCTCCACGGGGACGGGAATCCCGGAAGCTCATCTGGCACTCTTGAAGGATAATGTTGATGATAGCCTCATGACCGACTTCGCCACGGCGCCCTTGTTCACAGAGAATGTACGCCTAGCCGTTGATTATGAATCATCTGGCCCTGACGACGAGCCAATCTTCTCTCAGTACGGGTTGCTTGGCGGTGATGTTACCGCTGGAAAGCTCGACCGCCTTCGAACCGGAGGTCTGGATCCCCGCGTGTTCTACAATACTGCAGCGCCCTCCAGTACTTTCATCTGTGGCAGCCAAGGCTCCGGAAAGAGCCACACGCTGTCTGTCCTGTTGGAGAACTCGCTTGCCAAATCTGTCGCCAATGTGCTGCCGCGACCTTTGACCGGCCTGCTCTTCCACCGGGATAGCTTCGTGTCTGAGACGGCCGGCGCACCATGCGAGGCCGCGTACCTGTCGTCCAACCCTGCTATCAGCGTCCGGGTTCTGTGTGCACCGTCGAATATTATGAATATCCGCGTATGAACCACCCTTTCCCATACCCACGAGAGCCTGAGCGATGAAACTGACACTTCAACCTGCGCAGCGGATCTACAGCAACCTCCCCAACGTCACCGTGGAGGAGCTTCGTATCAACCAGTCTGATCTGAACACGGACCGCATGCTGGGTCTCATGGCCGTTCACACGGGAAAGGACGGAGGAATGCCTCTGTACCTGTATGTGCTGAACCGAATTCTCCGAGACTTGCGCATTGAGCAGCAGCGAAGCGGACTGGCATTCAACTATGGCAAGTTCAAGGCCACCATTGCCAAGGAGGCCATGCTCGACAGCCAATTGCTCCCACTTCAGCAGAGACTGGAGACACTGGAAAGCTTCATGGTTAAGGATCAGGCGCCACAATACAAGCTTGGTATGAAGAAAAAACAGTCCCAGAAGCAATCACACAAGTCACAACAGTCGTCCGTGGATGGGGAAGATGTCGCAAAAGGCAACATCTGGTTTCCCAAGGTATAAAAAACCCACCTTCCCGCTGACTATTGGCCGTCGACAGCTTTGCTAATGTGGTGTTTTTTTTTTTGCGAAATAGCCGGGCCAACTGACGATTGTCGACCTCTCCTGCCCCTGTATCACGGCCGAACTCGCCTGCTCCCTCTTTGGGATCTGTCTTAGTCTGTTTCTCGAGCAATCTCTGGACATCGGTCGGATTGTCGCTCTGGACGAAGCACACAAGTTCATGAATGACAGCGCAGAATGTGCGTCCCTCACGGAGGGACTCTTGCGCACGATTCGCGAGCAGCGGCACTTGGCCGCCCGGGTCATCATATCCACACAGGAACCGACCATTTCGACCAAGCTACTGGATCTTTGCTCGATGACCATCGTCCATCGGTTCACGTCCCCAGAGTGGCTCCTCGCCCTCAAGAAGCATCTCGCGGGCGCATCGAAGCACACCAAGGCCGACGCGGACGGCCTCTCGGAAGCAACTTGGTCCGAAGACGCGGTAGTTCGCCCCTTGGTTCTGAAGGGAGACGACTACATGTCTGCTTTGTTTTCCCAGATCGTCAAACTTCGAACTGGCGAGGCTCTCGTCTTTGCGCCCAGCGCTGTCATCGATGTCGACTATAATGCCTGCGACGAGACAGTGGACGATGAGGTTGTCAATGAGGACAGCCAGGAAGTGCTCGAACCTGCTGACGATACCGGAGCCAAGATTTATGCGGAATCTGACATCGCCTCCAGCCCCAAGAGCAGTGCTGGAGATGATGCTGAATCTGCGGCGGATGATGTGTACGACAGTGACGAGTCCGAGTACTTTCCAAGTCCCAAGAAACTCGGAGATGGTGTTCTGAAGCTGCGTATCCGCATGCGGGTGACAGCCGACGGCGGAAGAAGCGTCATGGCTCACTGAGGGGAAGTCAAACGTTTAAGCTTCTGGGGCTAGGGGGGAAGGAACCTAGCCCAGGTGTTTGAAGGGGGTTCCAGAGGGACGGAACAGTAATGATTGGAATGGTTATAAGCCATTTCGGTAATGAGTACTAATGCTGCCGGGCCTCACCTGAAATGACGCTCGGAAAAGCACTTGGATATGTCTCATGAACTAACTGTGTTAATTTTGAATTGTGTTAACGAATTAAACGCCTACATCTGATTGATACCTTTGACGTATCTAGAACAGCGGGCGATCCGGATTTGACCTGATAGATTTTATCTAGAGCTAGAGTAATTAAGTTTTCTCTAATGTTACCTGTCCCATCTACCCTCCGTGAGATGCTCTGATTTGTATAAAAGTCTTGACCTAGAATAGGGAGAGTATCATTATGGAATCTCTCCTCAACCCCTCTGCCACGACACACTTGTCTTCGTCCAGGGTGACACCTAGGTAGCCGAGAGAGAATTGAAGAGAAGGGAAAGAAGAATTGAACAAGGCAGTAAGATCAGGGAAGGCCGTTTTAGAATATGACAGCTGCCGCATCCAGCGCCTCGTTTGCCATTGCCGAAACTGTCACCATGTGCAGTATCAACATAATCGGGCACCATCGGCATGCAACCCGAGGAAAGCACTGGTGATATTCCGGATATACGGAAGATATCAAAGACGCCGGTCTACTGTGGAGAGAAAGATCCGACATGAGGCGGATCAAGGATGACACAGAGTGCACTGATTGTGGAAGGTAGACGGAATTCTGGCAACTCAAATAATCTACCAGGACCTCGTAAAGCTGCTTACGCGCGGATGATACATCAAACAGGGGCACATGGTATCCCGCGCAGGGGCATGGCATCGGAGAGAGTTGATGTTTGAGAAGACTGGTAATGAGGCGGTTTATTTAAAGATCCAGACGGCGCTCAACTAACGAGCTGAACTGTTGCTCAGAAACATCTCATACCAACCTTCAGCATATCAAATCAACTCGAACACACCAGTAAACTGCTTCAAGATGTTCTTTTCCAAAGCCATCGTTGCTGCCTTCGCCCTGGCCACCTCCGTCTCGGCCCTTCCTCAGGATGGTAGCCGGCCACTGGGCTGGATCTACGGATACTCCCAGACTAACTGCGCTGGAGATGTCCAGGCCACCTACGAAGTCCACTCTCTGGCCGACTGCTTCGGCTTCACTTCTGAGGGCCACACCTCCATCAAGTATGTCCGCAGTGCCTGGAAGGACGATGACCCGAAGCGTACGTATACCCTTGATACTTGCCATGGATGATGATGTATCCCTCTCTTATAATAACTTGTTACTAACTCCCGTGATTTATAGTCGTTGGTATCACCAACGGAGGCTGTACTGGAGCTGCCCACGCCAAGGTCAACTCTGCCTCGTGTGCCTCTGGAAGTCAGCCCCTCAAGTCGGGACGATTCGAGTAAACCTGCCTCGTCTACGCATCACCTTGGCTACTTACGCTGGATAACAACCTTGAATTGAGTTGAAAAGTAGAGCCATTGGGCTTCGATTGGAGATTCTATACGAGTGCTTGTTCAAATATGAGGCTTTTCGTTATACCTTGCGGGGTCCTGAAATTGTGGTTTGACTGGTGACCTATAACAGATGTTTCCTCAGAGCAGTAGAGTGAAGGAGAAAAAAAAAAGATTATATACCTAGGCCTTTACGGGAAATTTCCAGCTTTCTTTGCATGATTGACGCTGGATTTGATGCTGGAAGTCTAGGTAAACAGAGTGTAGTGTCCTCCCTCGTTACCAACTGATGGGCTCGCACTCTTCTCTTCAAGGTCGAACCGTAGCGCCGAATGTAATGGGCGGGAGTATTCACTGCAAAGCAATCCCTTGTAAGGCACATTTCAAAGCCGATGATGGCGTTGAAGGCGCAAAATGAGTCCTGTTTTGTCATGAAACTGCCGACGGCTTTCGCAAGTGCCTCGGCCGGCAGTTCCTCTTCTCGCATATCATCCAATGGGATCAAATGTTTCTTCCATTGCAGACTCCGGATTCAACCACCTCCCCCTTCGAGACATGAATCTTATCCATCCGCTGATGCTCGGCAGGGATCTGTTACGGAAGTGCCGGAGCCTCATGCAGGGGCCGTGGCGGGCGGCCGACCTGCCCCTTCGAGGGATAAGCTTATTCGGCTGGTCATGCTCGTCCAACCTCCTACGTCTTGAAGTACTGGATCCTTTGTTATTTATCCTAATACCGCATGGCAGGGGTACATTGTAAAAATCTCGATGGATGGACGTGTCCGACGGGCGGCCATGTGTAAGGTAACTTTTTTTTAGTTGGAATTGCTTTGGAGTGATATGCTCCTTCTAAAATCTTATTCTATCCAAAAAACAGAATATACAACCAAAAAACAGCAAATACAAAAGACGAAGAAAAACAAAGGGAACCAGAAGAGTTAAAAAGACGAAGAGTGTACCCAGAAAAATTTGTTTAGTAAAAATGGTATCGGAGGTTGTATCAATGTTCGGCTCGGCCGAATTTGATCTCGCACCGAAGCCGGCCTCGAGCGAGTCGAGTCTCTCCCCAATCCTATCGGAGTTTGCCTCGATTCGATGGAGCGTTTCCATCAACTCTGGCACGAGCTTTTGAAGCTCCGAGAATTCCATTTGTGTCATGGTTGCTGCCCTTGTCTTTTCGATAGTGGGATGACGACTAGCTGTGTTTTAGTCAGATCTGGAAGCTTTTTATCCTCTTTTAGATTGAGCAGGCCTACTGTCTTGATATAAACCTACGAGATTTCTTTATCGCTTGTGCTTATCCTTGGTAGCTGTAGGATTTGGCAAGATGAAACTGGCACCTGTGGTGTGCTTTTGGGTATCTCGTAGTCTTGTCCCGCGAGTGAGATGTTGGTGTGTTCTGTTGTTGATTCGGTTGATCGAGCGAGAGGCAGGCTCGGTCAGATGCTTGAGACTTGGTTTGTGTGCAGCGATGTGTGAACGGGATGTGGGATACAGCTTGTACTTGAGCTGTGCGGTTAAGATATTGGAAGGCCCAGGCTGGGGATGACGGTCTTCAAATAGGAAAAAAAAAAAAAGAAATCGGGATTTTAGGTTTATGAAGGCATTTACACTGATGAAGGAGTCATTATGCTGGGCGTAGGTTATCGTTGGTACCTATTGAACCTTATGTATCAATGACTGCGCGTAAGCCTCGTCGCTGGGCAAAAAGGCTGAACTTTGATGTATTAAAGTAGAATTAACTTGTCAATTTCTGTGTTCAGAGGCTCCCCTCATGTGATGGACGCTGATGGATGCTGATGGCTTTCGTTGAGGGCGGCAAGGCCCGGTATCTACAGTTTGGTAAAATGATTACTGTTACGGACGTCCAGAAATATACAGCAAAAAAAAAGGCAGATTCAAATGCTGATCCCTGGTACTTTCGCTAGGTCACCAGCGCGTTTTGGTGATGCCACATGGTAAGAGTTACCCCGTGGGTTCACAATAAGTTACCATACTAACTAATCATCTAGGGCAGATAGTAGTCGCACAGGAGCATGTCCCTTGGTAAAGCTCGCTCGTCGTTCAGAAAACCGTCAGTTTACATATCCGTAAGCCCGGGCTTTACTGGAGTCTAATTGTTTGATCTCGTTTGGGTCGAAATGAGGTCGAAGGGATACCTTAGGTTTGAACCGTCAGTCGGGGCCCTTGAGTACATCGAGGCACCAATAGGGTTATACTAGGTAGGTAAGGTGGGTAGGGCTCCTTTTTCTCATTATTTGTTTTATCTATGGCTAGAAAGTTAGATGCTGTCGCCTTGCGTTGGTATGTGGCTAGGCATCAGTTGGCTAGAATAAACTTTTCGGCGTGGCAAGGATCACGGTCATCTTTACTGATCATCGCCTTTCTATTAGATTCATAAGAAGAGTAACTATGGCTTAGATGGTACCAAGCCAGCCCTCGCCGAGGTTATAGGCGTTTCTTCTTCAAGAGATGCATGCCAGATTCGATAAGCAACACGCGATAATCGGTTGAAGGATCCGTCAAATAGAGGCGAGCTCTAGACCTAGCCATTCGCACTCCATTTGTGCACTCTGATAACTTGATTTGAATGTTGGTACTTGTTGAGAACAAAGTAGAACACAAAAAGATCTGAGGCGGGCGGCGAACTGAGCATGGTAACTTTCCGTCCACTCGTTCCCGCAAGGACCACGCCAACGATTTCCGTTTCCCCAAGAACCACTAGTCCTTACTCGACTTGAATAATTAGGCTCGCTTCCTCTAATGTTTCCAGACCTCCATTAAGCGGCTGATACTGGCGTCTGAACTTGCTCGCATTCCTGGCGCCCTTGGGCCTGACAGTGAATTTCTGAGTAGGAGGGCGTCAGAAAAATAGAGGCCGAGAGGTATCCTCATTCATGTCTTGACTTCTGATAATGGTAACGATGTTTATAGAAAACAACAGAATGTTAAGTTGAATATCCTTATAGATAGCATTAAACATTAATTATTAGACATTACAAAGTCTTGTTATCTACAGAGTATAATTAGTATCGCACCACAGTTACTCGCATCTAGATGACCTTCAAATCCAGTTCTTCAAATGACATTAGATCTTCCTCCACATCGTCACTCTTTTTCCAAACAGTGTCCAACGACTTCTTGACAAGAGGGGTGGCTTTCAATTCGAGTTCTTCAAAGGATATCAGATCTTCCTCCTCATCTTTCTTTTTCCGAGCCTTGTCCAACGACTTCTTGACAAGGGGCTGTTTGAAACCTCCGTCTGCCGTCTTGGGTAGGCTATCGTCCTGAAAGAAATCCAGGTCCTGATGTGACACGCGATTTGTCAGTAATCGAGGACATGTTTTCTCTCAACTTGCAAAGACACTTACAATCAACCAGGCTGGGTCCACAGCTGTTACGGTCTGCAGGTATGGAATGCCGCTGGAGACAAACTCGCTGTACACTATCCACTCCTGCTTCTCACGAGAAAGTACACTCTCTGGGTGGATGCCCGCGGTGTGGCCCTCATGGACCGTCTTGTAGATGGTGGCATGCGAATGCGGATGTTTGAGAGCGCACTGGTAGAAGAAACTCCGGGCGAGGGTCTTCCGAATATGAGCATCATATTCCGCATCTTCGAACCCGCAAATTTCTTTCGTATAGGCCAACTCTTGCTGCAATGAAGCGAGCAATTGGTCTCTGATTCTGACGACCTCACCCAGGGCACGACGGTTGAGAAAAGAGTCGAAGCACCACTGGCTAATCGATAATCGTTTATCAGTCTTCATTGCAGACTCGTAGGCGTGTAGAGCATTTAGTTGGCTCATATGGTCTGACAACGGACACGCAAACCTCCGGTGGGCGATGTCGGCTGCGAATCGCGCTGGAGGGGGACGAGAGAATATAGGGTGTTGAGTACTTGAAATGGCCGCTAGGTCAATCATTTCCCGGAGGCAACCGTTCTTCTGTCCTTCCATAAAGGCATTGAGCCATTTGGGGTGGACTGGTAGTCGTGCTGCGATTCGCCCTTTAGAAGTGATGGTGCCTTCGTCATCAATGTATCCCCTGTTATATGTCAGAGTGATTGCAAGAAGAATTGGACAGTTTTTGAGATGACTGGGCTCCTACATTGCGCAAAGATCTTGCAAACCGCAGAGATAGACCTCGGGGTGAGGCGGATCAATGAAGTCGAACGTTCCGACTGATTGGAAGCCCATTACCTTTAGCAGAAGGATTTGGGACGCGAGCTCGCCTTCCAGAATACCAGGAGGAGCAGAAGGAATGAAACACGTATTGTGAGTTTCCTCAGTGTACAAACGGAAGCATATTCCAGGTTGGGTCCGGCCAGCACGACCTGCTCTCTGTTTGGCAGATGCCTTGGATATGGGGCAGGTAAGTACACTCGACATCCTGAGGCGCGGGTTGTAGACGGGACGAATTTCCAGACCTGAATCTGTTGCAAATATGTGAGCCCTTCCCACCCTAGGAAACTCACTATGGAGATACTCACCGACAACATAAACGATCCCATCAATTGTGATGCTGGTCTCTGCGACATTTGTGGCAACAATGCATTTTCGATATTCCGAGTCATCGAATATTTCCTGTTGTTTTGCTCGCGAGAGGGCAGAGTACAGAGGCAGAACTGTAAGATTTTTATACTTCTTCCGAAGTATGGAGCAGACCATCTCAATATCGCCTGAGGTAGGTAAGAACAGCATGATATCCCCCTCGTCCATATTTTGGTGGATGTGCTGGACCACACTGATTGCGCAATAGCAATACCGAGGTGTCGAATCTGAGAGATAGTGGATTTCGACTGGGTGGACTTTTCCAGGTATTTCGAAAGTGGCGGCTCCGGGAAAGTAGCTTTGGATCTTCTCTATATTGAGAGTAGCGGACATGATGACGACTTTTAAGCATGACCGACGCGAAGTTGCCATTTTTAGCAGAGCCATCAGGAGATCCGTGTTCAAGGTTCTTTCGTGGGCTTCGTCGAGTATAACGCAGCTCTAGTTGTTCCTTCAGTACGATTCGGCAAAGACCGAATGGGATGTAGAAGAGTGATGGGGCGGAATGGAGATGAGATAGCCTAGGGCAGGGGTCTGTGAGAAACATACATATGCTGAAAAATCGCGGTCCTTCGAGGCCTCACTCAGAAGAAGCCCATCAGTCATATATTTTAATCGTGTCAATTTGCTCGATTTCCTCTCGAAGCGGACGCTGTATCCCACTTCCTCCCCGAGAGGTACATCGAGCTCCGCGGCTGTGCGAGTAGCCACAGCTGTTGTAGCAAGTCTGCGAGGCTGTGTGCATGCTACTTTTTTACCGCTCGCCCATTCGTCGAAGAGAATGAACTGTGGTATTTGTGTTGTCTTTCCGGACCCGGTTTCGCCAGACACCAAGATTATCTGTCCATGTTCAGTTTTGGAATCACTGTAGGGCGCTTGGAGCGATACTGACTTGTGAATTATGATACGTGTCCAGGAACTCTTGGCGTCTCAGGGAGACGGGAAGCTTTCGGCGTGATTCGAGCAGCCGAAAATACTTGGAGGAATGCAGTTCGTGGTCACGTAGCGCATTGACCTCCCAGTCCTCTAGACTCTCTGCTTGCTGCGCTGTTGTCTGGTTCCGCTGAAGATCCTCCATATCGTCTGACGGGTTGCTGAGGGTTTTAATGCCAGAAATAGGAGCGAGGTTAGAATATACTAAGGGTCCTCAGACCGAGGCTGCGAGATGCGGTTGAAAGTTGAGGTGAGCTGGGTGAAGGAAAAGTGAGAGTGCCTGAGCACAGGAGAAAGGTGATGCACGTGGAGGAGAGAGAGCGGGAGGAAGGCGCGCTGGGTACAATGGCCCTTTCAGTGCCGCATATCTCAGGCACACACACACAAGGCGCGACAATCTATTTTGCACCGCTTTGATCTTGCCCACGAATTTAAAAACAGACATTTACTCGTCCTCTGTTATGCCAGGTTAACTCCTGCTCATCGCCCCCGCACGGCTAGTTCTTCTGTTGCCCGCCTTGTGAATTAAAAGTCAGTGGTCTCGTCCTCCTTGCTTCGCAAAATCATGGTTCTTGGCCGATTAGTTAATCTCTGCTCAGTTTCCCGGTCGGATCCTCCAACTCCAGATACACAGGGCTTGTTCAAGCGATCAACAATACTATGGTACCCTGTTTCACAGTCTTGTCAAACCCCCTCCTGTCAGGTAAATCAGCTCCTGAGCACGCTATATCCTTTTCTTCGATCTAACTATCTCTCTAGCGTGATTGAAATTTCCCCGGTGACGATATTTTCAAGGCAACGTCGAACGATGATTATCATTTCGGCAACTGGCGAGCAGTTATACCCTGTGAACCCCGGAAAGTATCCGGAATCATGGAAACCCAAAGACAAAAAGGACAAAGCATGGAAACAAACCTATTTTGACCACATGGACAGGATAAAGCAAGACTATAAGGAAAAGGGAGTTCTTCAGGCGCCACTGATTCAAGACTTGCATGGACTTCTTCCGGTGCAAGAACCTTCACCTTCTAGCAAGGATATTGATGACAAGAAGAAAGTGATTTACGTGAAGAAGAACGAAAAGGACAACACGGTATCGTTTTCGAGGATCGATCTCACTTCTTTAAACACGTACAAAGCTGCGGGCTGGGAGCTATGGCAGCCTACTCCGAGACCAGCGGAGAATTTTACGGACAAGGAGACTCGATTGATTCCTGGGCTAAAAGAGTCACACCCAGTGTCCGAAAGTCTCAAGGAAACAGCAGTTCTCTTTTCGAAGGGCATCCAGATCTCCGCCGTATGCGATGGCCTTGATTGGCACCCAGGGCAACTACTGGGACCTGACTCAAGTGCTGAGGCCCCAATCTCCAAGACACCAACATTCATGCTCCCCTCCGAGTCTGGGAACAACCTCGCGTCGGCCACCTCTCGTGGGCATATCCACACACACGACCGGCCAAAGCTTGTGGGCGCAGGCTGGGGGGACTACGACCTCTTTTTTGAATGGCAACTTCACGGTCGCGTACTAGATGTGAACGATCTAGAGGAGAAAACTTGGAATTACAGGGACGAAGTATCAATCAACTTTGTTCCTGCTTCTGTCTTGGAGGATGGAGAAGAAAAATCAATGTCTTCTTATGATCCTGGTTACCCCTTCAAGACGCCTCCACCCCTCTACATGAAAGCAACAGGGAGGGAACGGGAATGGAAAGATCCAGGAAGGTATACGGGCGGTTGGTAATTACATGAATGATGCATTTCAACGAGCCTCGCGTCGATCACCCCGAGTATTCATATGGTATCACCATTCGCAGATACCACTTGATGTAGAAGCTTCGTAAAGAATTTTACTCCCTGTATTGGTTGTAGAGATATCTTACACCTGATGGAAGTTTACTGGTTCTTATTTTTGATGCGCTACCTGGAAGAATATCGAGATTTCTTAGTAATAACTAAGGTACAAGATGTTCTATAGCTGTACATGGATCAAGCTCAGATTCACTGTCGTTGCAAGTCCATTGATGCACTTCTTGGCACTCAGGAACAAAGATATGAGGATGGATTTTTTGTTGATTAATTAGAAGATGCATTTTCCTCGAATGAATGATTACGGCCGATGAAAGGGCGCAAGCATAGATCACCCGATAGTACCCCGAGTCATTTCGTATTTCGGTTCCATGTCAATGAACACTGAGTTCTCAAAGGATTGTCCTTCGAAGGGCGCGAAGGGCGCAAAGGGCGCAAAGGGCGCAAGGGTCGCAGGTTACATGCGTGTTACAAATGGATGCAACGCCAGATTGACGGACGTAGACAGTCCCATATCTCGGCTGAGGAGAGATTTACAAAGAAGAAAATAAAACATCTATGAAAACTCAAGCTTTTCAATTCTCTTCCAGCATCTCAAGCACTTCCAGCACTGTTTTGGGAAACCTCCGGTGCAGTTCTGCGCTGACTAATTTGCAGAGCACGCAAGATGAAGCTACTGCACTGCAACCTCGCTCCCCACATCTAAAATCTCTCAAAAACTTTCCCATTTTATCCTCCATCTTGCTAATAATAAGGCCAGAGTTCTTACTACCAGTTCCAAGATTCTCCAAGAGAATTGGCAATCGAACGAACCCATGGATCCTCGGACGGTTGAAGAAACGGCGCCTTTGCTGGGGGCTGAGGTTATCACCCCCGATCCCCGCACTCTTGAGGAGCGAGAGTTTGCCAAGGGCGACCCTGAAAATCCTTTGGAATGGCCACTGAAATTCAAATGGCTTTTCATTAGCATCTTGTTCTTTATGGGTGCCACAGTGTAAGCCGCCAATTGCACTTTGCCCTGTCCGCGTTCATGCTCGCGCTACCTCATCTCGATGACTTCGAGTTCATCCTTTCACTTTGCTGATCACTCTCGTGTAGCACTTTTACCTGCATTTCCCCAGTGCCCATCGCGGGGAGGATAGTCCAGGACCTCTCCAATGGCGAGAAAAACAAGTACGCCAGCGTGCTGCTCGTCACCATCTGGGAGCTGGGCGAGGCAGCCGGCCCCCTCCTCATCGCCCCCCTCTCCGAGACGTTTGGCCGGTATCCTGTCCTCAATGTCTGCAGCGTCTTCTTCACCGCTGCGGCTGTGCTGGCTGCGACGGCACAGACCACGCCTCAGTTTATCCTTTCCCGCGTCCTGTCCGGCCTGTTCGTCACGTCAAACGTCCTCGGACCGGCGATTGTCGGCGACATCTTCGAGCCCGACATGCGAGGATCCGCCATGAGCTTCGTGATGCTGGCGCCGAACATCGGCGGGGCGGTTGGACCTGCTATTGGAGGATACGTGGCCGATGCCTTGAGCTGGAGGTGGGTTGTTTGGATGAGCGTCTTGCTGTGCGCGACGTGTCAGATTCTGGTCTTGCTCTGTTTTCGGGAAACCTACGGGCCGGCCATTCTTGCACGAAAAGTGCACCGACTGAGGAAACTAAGCGGCTCGCCGAGTGCCGAAAGCGCAGTCCAGAACAACTCCAAATCTCGCGGGCCCGAGGCGACTTTGGAGTCCATCATCCGACCCTTCCTCATCTTCAAGAGCTCGATTGTTCTCGTTGCCATCTCCCTCTTTGGGTCGCTCACATTTTCTCACTATTTCAACATGACCACGACTCTGCCAGATATTCTGGAAGACGTGTACGGTTTGAAGTCATCACAGACGGGCATTTCGATGTTAAGCTTTTGTGAGTATTTTTCCCTTCGATAGCATGCAGAATTACTAACAATCGCCACAGCCATTGGATCTTTCATCGGTCTATTCATCTGTAACAGGTCCGTGGACAGAATTTACGTCCATCTGACCAAAGCAAACGGCGGGGTTGGGCAGCCCGAGTACCGTCTGCCACTTATGATACTGGCTGCAGTCTTGGCCCCCTTTGGCCTGCTCCTCTATGGGTGGAGTGCTGAGTTCGGCCTGCCTCTATGGGTCTTTTTATTTTCTTTCTCCTCAATGGGAATGATACTCCTAATGGCCTTCCTCCCCTTGTCGGCATACGTGGTTGACGCCTTTGGGCCGTACGCTGCCTCAGCCATAACTGGACTCATCGTGCTCAGATGCCTCATGGGGTCGTTGTTGCCATTGTCGACGACGCCGCTGGTGGAAAACTATGGGCTTGGGAGGGCATTCTCTGTTATAGCGCTGGTCAGCGCCGCCCTGGCGCCAATACCTGTCGTCATCATGATATACGGCCAAAAGCTACGACAGCTCTCCAAGTACACAAGAAACGACCCGGCGGAATGATGGAGATCATCTGACGGAGGATGGAATGGCTCAACATAACGGTATCGGGATGAAACGTCCTCAATCTCATGTCTACACAGCAGGATCTTAATGAGGAACGGGATGGAGGACATCACGCAGCATTTATTCATCACAGCGATTTTCCTGGGATCAAGCAAGCGAGATAGACAAAGCGTGGTACACCAAGACCACCGCATGAAGTTCAACATAGAATTCACAACGGCTTAACTAATAGTGAATAGATTATTTGCACAAACGTCATAAAATGATTTATTGCATGTCGTTTATTTAGTTTGCCACATCACGAATGGAACCACGGCGTAGCTTCCCCACTCGCCAAGTATGCGATGTGGAATGTCTCATTTGGCTCAGAAGGGCGATGATAAGTGAGTTATAACCTAGGTTTTCATTCGCATTTTTGGAGTATCTTCTTGCGCGCTGGCTTTGGGAGCAGGTATCTCACGCCAAAACTCTGGCCCTTCAAATTGGGATTCCCGGTCTCGTATTCTATCGACCCCCGGACTCGTTAGTTATGTGACTCAACCTTGCCGTCTTGAACCACAAGTAATCTTCGGCATAAGTGACAGTAACGTTTGCTGTAGCCGATGCAGCCTCTAGGACCCCGCACCAATGGTTACATATTCTAGGCTCGTTAGACATATGTGAAGGTGAGTCAACGAGGGGAAAATTGGCGGCACTTGGCGTGCTGGCTTTTTATCAGGCTCGAGGCCTTCGAAGACTTTGACCATGTGCAGCAGTCTCGGGCTCTAGACAAGTTCGAGTGAGGTGATGCTCGAGAGCACAACGTTAACTTTATCCGAACAGGAGGGTACAAGTGATGTGCCAAGACCCTACACTACATTCCTCACATACCATGCCCTGTTGATGTTGATTCTACTATTGGTTCCAGTGGAGAGACTCCGGAAACGTTGGTGGAATGCCCTCCGGAAACGCCACAGAGCTTTTCCGGGGCAACCCCCACATGTATTGTTTGTTCTACCGAACACTAGGTAACCATGGGGCTGTCCATACTTGTACTCGGGGTCTTCCAGACCATCAGCGTGGGAAGAAAATATGTCTGAAGGAGTTGTTGTAGCCCCATATATCCAAACGCCACGTTCTTATATTTAAACACTAGCCTTCGTTATGACCGAGAAAAGGAGCGAGTTCTCAGCGGCCGAGCTTGCAACGCTCTCCAGTAGGAGCAACCTCCACTTGCTCATCTCGGGGAAAGGTGAATCGCCGTCATTCCAATAACTTGGTTTTGAGTAGAATATAGGCTTTAATAGAGTGATACTGACCAATTTTTGACTTCTTAGTCTATGATGTCCACGAATTTCTTCACGAGGTATGCGGCAGAGGTCATATTGAACGGGTACGAGACCAAAATACTAACCTGATTACTCGTCACAGCACCCTGGAGGCGATCTAGTTCTACTTGGAGAGGGCGGCAAAGACGCAACCAAAGCGTTCGAGGACATTCAACACACCGATGATGCCAAAGAATTGATGGCAGAGCTTCTCGTCGGCTATCACACAGGAGTAAGTTCGATAAAGACATTCAGGTGCTGATATTGGTCATCAAACGGAAGCTAAAGTATCGGTCGTCTACTTCGTATGATTAGGAGCGGATGACAACTCAGGAACCCAAGCAGACTCAGATTAAGCGGAAGACCGCGATCAGTAGGTACGTGTTCTGACTCAACAAACAAATGAAGATATAATACTAACAGGATCAAGTAGTATTCCAATTAAAATGCTTCTAGCATTTATTGCCATTGGGATGTTAATATACTTCTCAAGAGAGTCATAAATATGCCCTGACTGCCTATTATCATGTGCCAGTATTGCATAGAAAGAAGGAGCACGAGAATTCTTAAAGTATTTTCTTTTTTGAGATGTCGCAAAACTTGAAAACAAAACCGCAGGATTTAGCTAAAGCACCTGTGTCCTCAAGGCTATATTCGCAAGTTGAACACTGCCGAGTTGACCATGCTAGGCGACTGCCACGGATTGTTCGGCAGTAGTAACTATCAAAAGCAGACTGCCTAGCAAGTTGACGACTTGACATATTGATAATCCTCGTGTATTATTGACTGAGCTAATTGATAAGAACATCTAAGTGAATAAATTTAGGCACTTTCCCTATCCTGCCGCCATGAATCAACAAACTTCTTCACGATACCGCTCGAGATCAGATCAACGCCGTTTCTAAAGCTAGGGCTAGCCTGTTCTGTGAGTTTGGTACTGTAGGTAAGGCCTTGACGGGCACCCCCATTGTCGTGGTCGTATTTCCTGGCGAAGAACTCCGTGAGCTTGACAGTGGGATTCTTGGTCGGGTCCTGCTCGCCTTCCCTCAGACGTTTGATCCATTCCCTCTGATCTACAACCTCAAACTCGAGGCCGGCGTCCCGCAAAGCTGGGAGTAGGTCATTTGTCCAATGGAACACGGCAGGGTTCACGAGGTTGTAGACCACCTCGGGGTCCTGGGCATATTTCCTCGCGAGGCTTGCACCCTCGGGCTCTGGGGCATCCAGCGAACTCAGCTCCAGTATAGTCTGGGCGACAATATCGACCGGGGTCCACGACGGTGTTTCGTCAAGTGCTGGCAGTGCGCCCATTGTCATGGCGCTGCAAATCATCAAGGGGATGCCCTCGTCCTGGTTCCACCGACCGACAACGGTGTCGCCCGCAATCTGGCCCACGCGGAGCACCTTGCAGACCATGCCTGTCTGCTCCGCGGCGGCCTGGACGATACGCTCGGCAACGAGCTTCGACCTCGCGTAACCCATGGGGAAGCTGTGCGACAGGTCTAGAACATGGCCCTCCGCCACACTGCCTGGTAGCGGGGTGCGGGCTGCCGCAGAGGTCGAGGAGCAGAAGTAGAACTCAGCCGGCGACTGGCGACGAGACGAGATGCAGAGATCAATCAAATGACGGACGCCGGCAATGTGCTGTTCCTCGAAGCTGCGAACGCCAATATTAAAGTTCACGGCCCAGGCGCTGTGAATGACCTTGGTAAGGGTGTTCTGAAGCTGATATATCACCTCTGCGCCAAGACCCAAATCTTGCCGGGAGAGGTCGGAGGGGAAAGCTCGGATCTTTGACACATTTGAGATGGGCAGCTGTCTCTTATTTAGGGTGGATATGACTCTGTCTAGAGCGGCGTCGGTTGACGAGGCGCGTACAAGGCAGTATACTTTGTCGACAGACTGCTTTGCAAGGAGTTTGGACAAGATATAGCAGCCTAGGGAGCCAGTGACACCGGTCACGAGCTACATAGTAATTAGGAACCAAGTCTGACAAATGAGTGTTGAGATTAAACGGAAAGAAGATGGACTTACCACCACTTCTCGTTGAACGGGTGCCTGTTTCTCAAATGTAGAGTACTTCTTGATCAGCTGGGCCATAATCCCAACCTCGTCTTCTGCATCAGCCTGTTCGCCTGTGCGCAGATTGTGCAAATGCGCCGCCAGCTTCTTGATGTTTCCAAAGTCGTACAAGGCGTTCTGATTCAATTTGCCGTCACCGAGGTCCAAGTGACGCTTGATGATCGCATAAGCCTTGATGGCTTGCAAACTATCCATCCCAGCCGTGAAGAAATCTGTGTCGGGCTTGATATGAGACAGGCCTAGATCCCGCTGTATGATGCCAGTCAGAAACTCCTCGATGCCATTGACACTCAGGGCAAGCTTCATCGTCGAGCCTTGTTCTTGGGTGGGCTCGCCAGCACCGCTGGCACGATCAAACAAGCTGCCGATGGCCTTTTCAAAGTGCTTGTAGCATGCCTGTCGAATCAGGGTGCCCTTTTCTGTCTGTGGGAACCAGACGCCGACGTCAAGAATCTCAACCGCATCCTTGGTTATTTGGCTGAACGCTTCTGCGTCCTGGTTTGCAGCAGCGATATCGGGCCAAACCTTGTCCAGGATCTGGTCCTTGCTGAGTCCCTCGGCATTATCGCTGGGCATGACAAGCAGCCCCGGCAGAACCTGACCAACGCCGACCACAAGGACCTCTTTTATGAATCTGTTCTGCCTGATGCGATGCTCAATAGGAATGGGAAGGACCTTTTCGCCATTCATGAGGGTGACGCGATCGTCCAGGCGCCCGACGTATTTCCAACGGTTCGCCAGTATGGGGTGCTTGACGAAACGATCGCTGGTCCGGAACGAGTTTGGGGGATCGTCGCAGTTGCTCTTGTTCTTTGAGGGGAGTCCGTCGAGCACGACGCACTCGTATGTGCCGTCGTCAAGCAGATCGAACAACAGGTACGGAGCAGCCGTGGGCAAGGGATGCAGATAGTTCCATGCTTCATCGCCAGCTGGGCGATCCGATGTCATGAGCTGTCCAAACTCGGTGGCGCCGTAGTGACTGATCAGTCGGACGCCACCCTCCACAAGCTGGTCGCCCAGTTCATCGGGGCAGCTGCTTCCCCCAAAAAGGACCTGCTTGGGCCCTCTCAGAGCCTCGATCCCGCCCTCAGTCTCGGCAATGAGCTTCAAAGCGTAAGGAACGCAGTGGAGACTCTCGGGCCTGGTGTTCTGTAGCCCCTTGACGAGGTGGCCACCGGTAAGCGGCAGTGAGGCATTATACAACGCAATGGGCTTGCCCTTGAAGACGGCTCGGAAGAACATGCTGACGCCATGGCCATGATAGAATGGCAACGTGATGTAGTAGGACTCGAAGCCTTTGCTATAAGTGTAGTTGGAGATGCCAGACTTGTGCATGCTGGGGATGGCCTTGGGGTAACCCGTGGAACCAGAAGAATGAATGATGTAGGCGGTCTTGGTGCTGTCCTCGACCCGGCTCTTGAACTTGTACTCTGACGACTCGGTGCAGTTCAAGTATGTGTCTGGTGTGGTGAAATGGAACGACTGTAGCGTGCTTCGCTGAGCATGCAGCTCAGAAACGGTCTTGGACAAGGCAGGGATTTCTGCGTGAACAATGTGGTGACAGTCTGTTTGATCAAGCAGATTCATGTACGCATCGTTGCTGAGGCGCGTAGAGAGATAGAAGACTGCAAAGCCCATGCGAGCCAAGGCAAACACGGCGACAACATAATCAAGGTTGGCTGGACCCAAGAGCGCAACCACGGGGCTATCTTTAGTCGGATCTCTCGCCGCGGGGGTCAGGCCTTGGCCTCGTAGATGTTTAATCGCTCCGTTGACGAAGCGATCAAACTGCCTCGCCGTGTGATAGATGTATTCCTCTGCAGTATGCGCGTTGGCGGGATACCCGATCATGGGTACGTCTGGAGTAGTCCGGCATCTCTCAATCAGGATCTCTTCGAGCCTGTAGAATGCTGGTGTGGGCGGCTGGAAGGGTGCTGGCAGTGCTTGCTCTTTGGGCAACACATCCGGCTGGAGCGAGCGTGAGATCACCGCTGCCATTTTTACTGAGCCATATACGCTTGTCGGATGTTGCTGTAATGGGGGGAGGTTCTATAAGGAGAACGAAGAGAAGTGTAGAAAGGACCTTTGAGCCAATAGATTTACGAACTTGGAAGACGCCGGTGTGGCTGTCTTGTGCGATCCGCAAGGATTTTTCTCGCCAGAAGCCACTAACAAGATCGATTATGGCTGGCTGTAGTAAAGCAGTGATTTAATATATTGCTGTGACACAAGCAAGATAGTAAAGAAACACACAATCAGCAATGCGGAGGATCCTTATGTGTCGTGCATCCGACAGACTTGCCGAACCCATTGGGCAGTCTCTAGCCCTTGGCACATCCTGCCCCATGTTCCCCAGAAATTCATCTCATGCCAGTCACCGAATGTATTGAGTGTGCCGAACAAGTTCTGACACTCCCGTCAGAAACATCTAGGACCGGAGCTTTCTCGGAAAAGCCACCATCCGGTCGGCCTCGGCATGGCCATGACTTTTCCGGAGCCGGAGCCTCGGAGTCCAGAGGAGAAGGAATGTTCTATCGTAACTCGCCCAACATCTTGGGGTCTAGTGGGGTCTCGGCAATGGACTCAACTGCACCTTTGAGCGCTCGCAATACCATGCTTCTGGAAGCTATGTTGGTGAGAGAGGCTGTCGGTGTCTACGGATCACTGTTGCTTACCCGTCGGAGACAAAACTGGGTGCTATAGCGTTGTTCTTGAGTGAAACTAGCGCGACTACTGCCGCGTGATAATCAACGAGTACACATTATCGAGCAGCCAAATTGTGGCTCCAATCGTCTACTTACAGCAAAGCTGAAGTAGAGCTGGAACAAAAGCAGGTGGCGACTTTTCTGGTTGACTGATTGAGTGGAATGAGTCAAGCTTTTCCTGCTTGAGTTGTGCCAGCGCAGCACCAACTCCTGCTGTGACCTGAAGGTGGGTGAGAGGAGTATTTGCCCCAATTAGGGGAGGATCTTGCACGAGGAGACAGGCTGAAAGTGATCAATCAATACTGCTTGAAACTGTGTACTGATTTTTCATATCCTATCCGCAATTTAAAAGCGATTTTCTTCTGCGAGAAACATGAAGGCCAAATCGGCCAGTCCTTCTAGCTCAAGGCTATTGAAATCATCTTGGTTCTCAAGAACAAGTGTAGTCGACGGGTCACTAACGCCGTTGTAAATATTAGGAGGATCTGGGAATGTGAATTGTTGGGGGGCATCCAGGCCGAGGCCACTTAGTGGGGGAAACTCCTGGGACGTGATATCATCGGTCCCTAAAATACCATGTGTGGCCGCGGCCTGCTCTATGTTATTGAGAATAGCACCAGATACAGCAGGTTGTTGCCCAGCAACGAGTTGTACACCTTGTAATACTGCGGCTGGTCGAGTGTGCTCTTCGAGTGGCTTCGTTGCCTCATTCTGGAGCTCAGTCAGCACCACGACATACCTTTGGGCATATGACATGTCAGCAGCGCAGGTTTTCAGGTCCCTGAAGCCTTGCTGCGCAAGATCCAAGTACGACTCCCATGTATGAGTAGCTTTTGACCGACTCTGTACGACATGAAGATAAAGAGCAACAAGCGCAGAGAATACGTAGTAATGGGTAAACTACAGAATAGATGAGTAAGTCATGAGCCGTGCGTAGAAGGCATATCACGTACCCAGAACGCGTTACACATCTGCTGCTGTTTGACTAGCTCTCTCAGCTTTGCAACAATCACGGCTGCTGCGTCCAAGCACCTCCGGACACCGTATGGCAAAGCCCCCTGGACTGTGTTATCCTGCCGCAAACTCAAGGCAGACGGCTTTGTTAGCAATGCCTGCCGATGGAGCATGATGACAGCGTGCGAGTGAGCCATGTGTAAAACAGTGTGCTGTCGTCGAAAGATTGGCAACAGGATTTTAGGGGTTGTAATATCAAGAAAAGGGCCGATCTCACAACGCCACTCTGTCAACTGAGTGTCATACAGGGTTAGGGTCTGCTCCTGTTTGTCCGGGTGTAATCGTTTCAGACCATAGAGATCACGGAGAATTCCGCTCACTATTTTCAGCAGCCTTGAACGAGGGGAATCATCAGCCATATGCCTAGCAATGACGTTGATTTATACTTACTTTGCGTGAGAAATCGATGCTTGGGTAAGACTTTGTCCGCCCTCGTCATTTGAGAGGATTTTCAAGGGGGTTATTTGCCAATCATCAACGCACAAAGGTAGTTCCTTCACGTACGAGGGTCAGTCTGGCAAGCATAATAGGAAACCGGTTCAGAACCACAGCGAGTTGACTACCACTTACCTGGTCGAGGTCTTCCTCATGGAAACTCCGCGGGCGCCCGAGTCCAGCACTAAGATAGTTATCAAGGATGTAGGCGCTCCAAAATGCTCGCTTCCTACACTCGTGCTCGATGAGGTCGGTGCCACCGTTCCCTTCGCGCTTTTTGCGCCGGTGCAGGCCGATGGCGAGCACCAGGTTTGCAACAGTCCCAAACAGACTCCAAGCACTGTTGACGCGAGACTGCGCCAGCAGTAAAAAGCACAGGACCAGCCGCGCTTGAATGCTCGTAAGACGAATGCCTCCGGACTCTTGTCGGAGATGATGATCTGAAGCGGCGAAGAAGATGGCACTACACTCGTCAGCGTAGTCACGCGATACACCGCGGCTGTACGAACCTATCGATGTAGTCTTGCGAAGTTGACTCGGAACTTTCGCTGCGTGGGCTAAATTGTTTAGCTACAGCAAGAAGCGCGAGTATTATGGCTCGTTTTTCGTGAGCCCCAGCCTCCAGCGGTCCGTGGTTCTGAATGCTATCATAGAACTCGTCGCACCATATATCTACTGTAGGCTGGTGTAGATATCGATGGGTTGGGGAAGCAAATTCAAAGTAGTATCTGATCAATCGCTTGGCTTCACTCTTGTCGGGTAAGATGAGGAAGTGAGGATCAAACTGGGGCGTCGGCGCATCGGCAAAATTGAATATCGAAGGGAGCGATGTCGATGCCGAGTGCCTACTGTCGCGGAGCTTCTTCAAAGCGCGTGACAAAAAGGAGACGCCAGAAGCTGGCCCGACGTAATGGCCCTCCAGGTCGGTGTGTGGTGGCTCTGGCGAGTTGCGAGAAGACCGCCCCATGTCCCCAACTTCTGGGAGGGCTAAGCTATCTGGCATCATAGCATCGGGGATGATGCTAGGCTGGACGGGGACAACCGTAGCTGGTAGGGCGTCGGGGGATAGCTGGTTCCCATGCTCTGATGAGCTTCGGGGTCTGCCACTGCACGATGCATTCGAGTCTGCCAAAGAAGGCCGCGGGGTCTCTTGCTGACGCGGAACGGCTTCAGGTTTCGCGCACTCGTTGCCTGTAGGATTGATCGAGGCGACATCTCCATGGCCTTGGTCGACAGTAGTGGTAGAGACGCGATGAGCCTTCCCTCTGTTATACTCCGTCATGAATGTACAAGGCTGCTGGCTTCGAACGCAGGATGCGCAGGGCCGGACTCCCGTGCATCGCAGCTTCTTACTTGCAACTGGTCAGCGCTCTTGTGCGACCGACACATTGTGTTTTGGGATGCCTGTGACGAGCCTGTACTCACGTCTTGCAAAAGTCGCAGGCACGAGTGACGCGTACTCGTTCCCCATTTCGACGCCGCTTCCTTGCGGATGGCGGGCGTTCTTCGGCGTCCATCTTGTAAAAGCAAAGGCGCTGCTGCGTATGTCTGTGCGTGCTTTGCAATTGCAGCTGAGATCAGACTGCTGGAGTCGTGGGGGGATGAGAGGCAAGTTTCGAGGATCAGGCAAAGTCCATCGATCTGGCACGGATCACCTGACACAGTGCGTCAAGGTGCCTGGAGTTTAGTGCTGGTAGTGCTAACCATTAACAGTCATGAGCCCTGCGGTACCACTGCCGAACACCACTCCAGTAGGTACATAGGATTGGGCGCTCGATAAAAAAAATACAGAATAAGAGTATAATTAATTTATTACTAGATTGATTGTAATCTCTGCTGATTTTATTTCTCTTTACTTTTATTGATTCAAGAAAGAAACCCTCATGGAAAGCGTTGTGTCATAAATATAGTTCAGTGGCTAGACTTTAGAATCTCCGACCACGCAGTTGATGTATATCTTTTACCACCTCAGTGATAATCTACGTTCCTAGGCATCTTCATTGCTGTCTTTGACTGTGCACGCCAAGACTATTTTTCAACGCTCCTGTATAACAAAGGATAGAATGAAAGTCCGGATAAGATATCCCCATATTGTAATTACACACGCACCAACACAGCTGTTTATCAAGGTAGAACCACACGATCCTCTCTTGCCTCAGATTTTATGCTCTTCTTTGCGCTCAACGTGCTCAGTTGACCCGGACTTGGTGTCCCCGCCGACCCCGTCGATGGTGCTAATTTGATGATTCTCACTTCCCTCAACTTCATCTAGGGCCTTCCCCACCGGCTCGGACACGACGTCACCAAACTTGGCTGCGATTTCCTCAAGCGTCAGTTGGTTGGTCTCGGGGAGCCAGATATAAAATGCGACAAATGCGGACAAATTGGTCGCGATGAACACGAAATAGAATCGCCATTGAATCTTATCAAAGGCAATGCTGGCTGCAAAGCTTAGCCAAATGGCCGTGACGGACTGGGTAAACATGGAGAATCCAACGCCGGTGGCTCGGAGCTCCAAAGGGAAGATCTCGGACACGATGACCCAGATGGCCGAGTTGAAGAAGAAGGCCCAGAAGAAGGCATATAAGAAGATGAAGGCCACTCCTGCGCGGCTGCCGTTGGGGTTGGTGCCGTCGGCAAACTCTTTTGAGAGAGGCGTCAGGACGACAAGGGAGAAGAGGACCAGTGACAGTCCGCAGAGGACTGTTCGCCGGCGAGGCCAGTGATCGGACACGGTGAAGATGCTGATCGTCTGGCCGATTACTGCCATGAAGCCGTAGAGCGCGGTGATGAGCAGGACGGTCCGGCCTTCGTATCCGAGGTTCTTGTACATGATCGACTGGTAGTTCTGTATAACGTTGCTGCCGGAGAGCTTTGCCATGTTGACAATTAGGCATCCGAGAAGCGTCCGTCGGATATATTGCCTCGTGAATAGGGTCATGATTGGCGCTTTGTGTTTGCTGGTAGATTCGAGTCGAATCTGCGAGTACATTTCAGAATACTCGTGCTCGATGAATTCTGGGCCGCGGTGCTCATGAATATAGTACATGACTTTTCTGGCGTCTTCGTAGCGCTCACGCATAATCACTGCAGACAGTCAGCTTATGATCTTAAAGAGAGACGAAAAGGGGGCAATCTTACACCATCGAGGAGAATATGGCAGCATGAAGCAAAGGACTGCAAGGAGAACTGCCGGCGGTGCTTGCATGGCCAGAGGAATGCGCCACTGCAGGTTCCCAACGGCAAATGTACCGGCATAGCCAATCCATCCGGCAAGCAGGTAGCCGATGGTGTTCATCCATCCCTTCAAACCCACTAGGAAGCCTCGGTTCTCAGGAGGCGCAAGCTCGGAAAGGTAGACGGGGGCGACAGAGTACACCATGCCGGTAGAGAATCCAGAGAAGGCACGTCCGATAATCATCATGGCCACGTTTTGAGCAAGGGCTTGGATGATGGCGCCAACGATGGAAACAAAGGAGCCGAGGAGGATGGACCAACGACGTGACAAGCGATCCATGCACCATCCAGAAATCCCGCTCCCTACGCAAGATCCTGCATAGTAGCCACATATGATGCCTCCGTTGATGACGGCACTGTTTTTTGCCCCCCCAAAGAAGAACTCGGTGAAGGTATTTTGAGCAATGGAAGAGGCAATGATGCCGGTATCGAGACCGTAGAGCAGCCTGGTTGTGAACATACGAGTTAACTTTGAACCAACCCAACTCACTCAAGAGTAAAAGAGTTTCCAAATCGAATGAGAGACTATACAGACCCGGCAAGGGAGATGCTCATGGAAATGTTGAGAGAGCGGAAAGAGTTGCCGAGATGGCCTCTCTTTTGCTTGTCAGCAGTCATGTTGACGCGGTTGACTTGTGTACTTCTGAGTTTTAATGGGCAATGGCAAAAGAAGAACAAAGCAGCCAAGTAGAAGAGCAGGTCGGAGGCTAAATGGTGAGGGTTGACATTGCTGGATACGAAACGACTATTTGTACAGCTCTGGTTCAGCTAGCAGAGACCAGACAATGAGTTAGGAGAATCTGGGGTTTCCGCATAACGACGTTCCGAAGTGCGGGGACCCCACACACAGCAACGAACATGGGGCTCGAAGGAATGCGCTTCATACTAATGATTTGTCCCCAGACTTACCTTACTTTTGCCCCTTAATAGCAGTTGCTGCCAGTCAGTTCTTACACTAAATGGTGTTGGGATTATGAATTATGCACAAAGCGTCAAGCAAGATACTCGTAGGGTGTCTTCCTATCCTATTCGTGAAAAAGAGAAAAGAAAAGAAACTCATCATTTACAGCAGTCAGCCAGTATAGAAAAGAAGGTGATTGGCGCCACTGAAACCATCGTTAGAGTCTCTTCTAACCCTTGGTAGACCCCCTAGCCCCGTAGGGTTGCAGTACGCAATTCGCGAACAAGTAAAGGCAGGTCACTGTCTCTTGGATTTCCGGCTCATGATTGAGACGGCATGAATATCCATAGTCTTCTCTATCTCCCGAGCTCGAAGAGCCCCACGTATGGACCATGCGTCCAATCTAATGCCACCAAGATCAGCTACCGAGCATTACCGAGCAGGCCTGATCCGGACCGGAAATGTACACTCCATCTTCGCCTTAGAGCCCACCCAATCGGGTCTGCAAAGTTCTGGATGACCTAAGGTAGACCCGGATAAGCCCCTGCTCAAATACCCGGGGAAGTGGAACCAGATCAAAACACCCCGCCCTTGACGGCATGATGTTATGGAAATGGGACATTTTTCGAGCAGTTTCCCCTCATTTGCGTTATACTGATAAAGGGAAAGGTGCGCTACAAGCCGGGGTGTCGTTTACTCATCATCTGTTCAACACCGCTCGTTTACCGATGTCTGGATACACAGATGAGCCATCCCTATCTGGTTAACGTTGACTGTCATACACTACACTATGGCTATTCTTGCCATGGACCTGCTGCCCCATAGCAGGGCCTTGATCATAACAGGAGCCAATGTGGCTGCATTTGCTTTTCTTTTGACTGCATCATGTAAGATCCCCATCTTCTCTCGTTGTAATAGCCAAGCACCCCCGAGGATCTAATTCACGCGCGCTAGGGATCTGTTGGACATACCGGAATAGAGGCTTCTGGACATCTTCGTCGGCCAATGCAAAGTGGATTGCTGGCCCGAAAGGCAAGCCTTTCAAGGGAAGCGTCGAAGAGCTTCAGACAAACGGCGCCGCTAGCTGCAAAGCCTGGTACTCTCTCTATCAGCGATATGGACCTGCCTATGAGATGACCATCCCTTTCTTCCGTATGCATATTATCAATCACCCCACCTACCTTGAGCATATCCAAAAACACAATAGTAAAAACTACATCCGTGGGGCGTTTGCTCGCAATGTCTTTCAAACTCTACACAGGTCTAGTATCTTTATTACGGATGGCCCTGCTTGGCAGGTTCAGCGTAAAGCTGCTACTAGGGCTTTCAGCAAGCAAAACTTCGAACACCATATCACCCGATCTTTGCATTATTGGCTGGATGTTCTTACGCGCCTTCTGTCAAACCTAGCAAAAGAGCAGCGCGAGTTTGACTTTCAGGAATTAATGGGTCGTCTAATGTTCTGCCTCTTTCTCCGGATTGCCTTTCATGAGGATAAGATGGCGTTGGATATCCTATCTGATGATCCGGAATGCCTCAAGTCAGTGCCACCTTATGTGAAGGCATTTGATGAAGCACTGTACCGTGAGTGACGCTTCCACTGCTTCCCATTAACATTACCATCTATTCCTGTGTGTGTTCTGACATTTCCTTCACTTAGTATTCGACCGAAGGCGACGCGATCCCCTCTGGAAGATTAATGAGAGGATATCTGGTGAGAGTCAGATCGCCCAGAATGCAGTAGACCTCTTTTATGCACAAATCGATGGATTGATCCAGAGGCGTCTCGATGCAGTGGAGAATGGCTACCAGCCTGATCCTGATGCCGGAGTAGATATTCTGGACCTTTTCCTGCAGTCGACCCAGGACAAGTACACTCTCGGCGGCCAGGTTTTTGCGTTCCTTTCAGCTGGACGTGAGCCTTGTCCCTCGAATTCCCAACGCCTGCAAGCTCGAGTGCTGACATGAACAGGCGACACAACTGCATATAGCATTTCGTGGCTCATGAAAGAGATCCACCATCGCGATAATAGACACCTAAGCGCTGCGGACAGAATCAGAGCCGAGCTTAAAGAACTTGGATTCACCGATGGCTTCCTGAACTACGGAGATACTCCAGTATGCCTGCTTCATAGCATTTGACGTGTTTTCAGGCCATATTTGAACTAACGTTTCAAAGAAACTACGATTTGCCAATGCAATGTGGGACGAAACTGCGCGTTTGAACACTGTCTCTCCAGCTGGTCAAATGGAGGCAGCAGACGATGACGTTCTTCCCGCAGTGCCCGAGCTCAATATGCCTCCTCGACACATTAAAAAGTGAGTCGTCGACGTAGCATGGTGCGGATATGGGGCTTGCCACATGACAGTTATCTAACCTAGCACAGGGGAGACATCGTTAGCTACCAAAACTATGTCCTTTCAAGAATGCCAGAAGTTTGGGGAGACGACGCTGCCGTGTTCAACCCATCGAGATGGTTCAAGGACAATGGAGAAAGTATCTCATATAGTCCTTTTAGTAAGTCTTCTCTGGCCCTGCTTACGAGATGAGGAGAAACTAACGCGTTTGTCGTCCAGAGTATCACTCGTGGAACGCTGGACCTCGGAGTTGTCTTGGTCGCGCCCTGGCTACCTACGAAGGTATTGCCATAAGCGCTGCAATCCTCCATAGATTTGACGTCCTATTATCCGATACTGAGAGGGGATACGAACCACTAGCAGCTCTGAACATGGTAATCTACCTTTTAGATATTAGATATATCAATCATGAATACTAACGATATCCATCACAGGGAATCAAGGGCGGCCTTAAGATGAGAGTGAGAGCCAGGTCATGATCAGAATTGTGGGTGAAAGAGGTAAAATGAATATGATATCCTATATTTATTAAAGTACCAACAGGAAAGAGATTTAGGCGTGTTATGAACACACAGCAGTTGAGTAGAGAGACGTGGATTAAAATCAAAGGCTAGTTACAGGTTGGATGATGTGATCGCACTTGGCACTAACATAATTAGAGTAATCATATATTATTCCCCAGCCGGACGTGTTAAAAAGGTCATTTCCATTAGTTTCGAGGCCATTTTCGTTGCCTGATGTTTATAGTCATAGATTTTGTCTTCCCTTTTGTCACGAACGCAAGGTCCATGTGCAGTGTGCGCTGGCCAGAGGCCTGCTCCAGAATACAGCGACGGATCTCGGCTGGGAAGGGACCGAAGAAACGATCGGCATCCGATGCGCCTCCGCTTGTTTTGTACACGCGAATGGGACGGCTGATGCTGATTGGTGGACGGGCTTGGCAAAGGAGTCCTCGCGTTCTGTTGTAACGCTTACAGGCTCGAGCTATGCGATTGTCCCAGGACCACGGTAGGCGGCCCCAGACATGGGCGAGGGGCCTACCGATGAATGGTATGGCTTTAATTAATTAACCAGACCACACGGCTAATGTCATGGATTTACCGTGGGAATATCTCAATCCCGCGATGGCACGTTTGATCGTTAGATTATAAAGTACGAAACGCAGGGGGATCATCACTCACGTCGTCCATGCTGGAGCTGGTGGTTCGCCTAGAGATGGGTTGAGGGAATGAAAATTAAGTCGATTACATTAGTGAGGCGGGAGATTTAGACTTGGTTCGAACCATTCAGCCTCACTACCAGCTGAAACTGCCTATCCAGGAAAAGCAGTGCGCCCAACAAGGGCAGTTAGCGGCACTTGTATACGAGGCATCCATCAAATAAGCTTTTCCCAAGTATTAATCAAGTCTCTATCTGGAGAAGGTATACGAAGAATCACTTTCCTTGATACCTTGGGATGAAAATTGACAGCATGACGCATTATCCGTGATGTTATTTCCTTGAGCTCGCCTATATTTCTTGACTGGCTGCTCGGTGAGACGGTTCTTTCTCCCTACATTAGATAGCTCTGCTGACTGAGAGGGCGATGCAAGGGTATATTGTAAGCCCTAAGCCCAGAGTTCGAAAAGCTGCAGATTGTGAGATATACTATTTGCCATGGTTAATATAACCCTTGCTCGTTTGTTTGGAAATTGATTTTGTGTAACCCAGCTGGTGGAGTAGCAACCATCAGCGGACGAAACAGATTGCGAAGCGAGTTCCGTGCAAACGGCTCGCTTATTCCTAAACCCGGAGGATGATGTCCGAGTCATGGGGAACCGGGGATCATTGCCCCTTCCCATGAGCCAAGCCATACATATCCCAGGGGTCCCCTTTCTGAAGGAGGGCCCCGGAAGACTGCCGCAGAAACAGAGGATCTATTATCTGATTCTAATGGCAGGATGGGAGGCATTTCTCGGGTAGTGTTCCAGCATCCGGGCCCGTAGTTATAACCTACTACGACGCTCCAATTTCTGTCCAAAGAGCGCCCGCACTCTAGTGAGAATTACGGTCAACCCCATGGCCCTGTCCGTCCTTAGCGTACAACTTGAGCCCAGCTCCAGATCAAAGCGGAAAGAGATTAACAAGGAGGAATGCTGACCATCAGGCCATCTCATGTCGGTATATATACCTTGCAGTGGATCCCCGCGTCTCCAGTTGTTTGGTCCCCGAAAAGTTTTCGAAATGTAGATCACCATATCATCGCCAGAGAACATGACAGGCATCATATGTGAGCTTGATCCCCTTTGTCTCGCCAAATCCGACATTAGAACCATCAGGACTATCGGAAACCCATGGGCTAATCATCAAATGGCAATGAGCAGACCTGGCAGAGCCTCCTGCGGGAGAAGATCGGTTCGCCGATACCTTCACAATGGTCCCAAATATCCTGGCTGCTGGTATTGTCACCAACGCCATCGCTGTTGCAGCTGTCGTAATCCGCACCTACACGAAGCTCCGTGAGCAGAGACAACCCTTCCAGGGTGATGACTGTAAGAGACGAAAATGATTCACCACGAAGTGAAAGCGCAGTTTCTAACCTAGACATTTAGTCTGGATCATTGTTGCCATGATTGGGTGTATAATTTGGTTTTCCTTCATCGCGGTTGGTGAGTTATTGAGACCCTTGCTCTACTCCAGACTGATATGCCTTTGTTCTAAACAGGTCTGTGAGATAGGAACTTCTTACGGATTCGGACATCGTCGTTGGCAAGTCCCGAGGTCAGACTTTAACGATTACCAACGGGTAAGCTTGATTTTTAAATGCGTCCGGCATGGTCAAACCTGACATGTTAATCCCGTATTGTTCTCTAGTTGCAAACCACTGGCATGTTCTTCTCGACAGCGGCGACAACCGGCCCAAAGATCTCGCTCCTCCTGGTGTACAGACGACTCACGCCGAGCTATGGAATTCACATAGCAACGACTGTCATCATGTGCTTCACGGCCCTCTACACGACCCTGAACGTGGGTGGCGGAATACTAGGCTGCGTCCCCGTCAGTGCTGTATTCAAAGAGCCCATGCCTGAGGGAACCAAGTGTGGCCCACGGCGCGCCTTCTTCATCTTATTCGGCTTTGGGAATGCGGCCGTGGACATCGCCATTGTGGTACTCGCCGTGATCATGTTTGCGCCACTGCGTCTCCCCAGAGCAAAGAAGATTTCCACCCTCTTGTTATTTAGTGGCGGTTTACTGTAAGTATCTATTAAAGGGCTCAATAGTCCAGGCGGGACGATTGCTTACTGAGCTTGAACACTCCTAGTATTTGCGGCATTGCGTGCGCACGAGCGTTCCTCATCTTCCAACCCCGCGACTTCTGGGGAGAGATACCCATCTTCTTCCTCAACGTTGTCGAGTGCACCGGCAGCATCATCATTGCCTGCACTCCCGTGCTGAGCGCCTTCATCAAGAAACACATCAGGGCCTTTGGAACACAAGGCAGCTCTAGCCAATCTCGTGGGCCCCGACAAGATTATATTCGGCAGTCGGATCACCACAAGAGGCCGGCCGCGCCCTTTTCCTCAGAGAGCGCGGATGCCATTGTGCTGCGAAGCATAGATAACGAAGAGTCGAAGTTAAGGGGGAACAAGGCGGGGATGTTGGATGTGCAGCATGACTTGTCACGGAAGTCAAAGGAGACTGATGTCGTTACAGATGTCGAGGTTGGGTCGACATCCTCAGGTAAGCAGGTCGCTTGCCAGGACAATCTTTACAGGTAAATGAGGGAATGACGTTCTTTGGGTATTTGTTTGCTGGATATCCTGAATCTTGTTAAATGGTCGATAATGTCCATACTTTTAGTCACCACATTTCCTATTGAGAAGGGTGGTTATGCTCCAATCTCATTAACATGGTTTTCTTGTCATGATGCATCTGGCCTCACTAAGCTCCAAGTCACTCTTTTATTCTACATCCCCACGAGCCGAATTCAAAATCTGGTTCTTCCGCTCGACGGCGTTCCAGCTGCGATTCCCGTTGACTGCATTCCGCTCTGCCTCCTCCAGCCACACCTTCCACGAGTCTGTTTCAGGAGCCGCGCCACTGCGACTTACCCAGCCCGTCCGCTTGGTCTCCCGAATGGCAAACCAGAGCGAACGCGTGAAGCTAGGGTAGCCTTCACGCTGGTTTTCTTGGTCAGTGACCTTCTCAGCATCCCGGGCATCTTCAGGAGTGATATCCTCCCATTCATAACGCGGAAACTCCCAGTGGGTAGTCGAGGGCAGGAGGGCAACAAACCAATAGACGGCGTTGAGCAAAAGGTAAGTCACCGCAAGAGCAGCTTGCATTGTCCAAGAAGAATTTCCCATGAGTATGACAGCCACCATGAACACGACGGTTCCAATTCCGACACATAAGCCGAACCCTGTTGTGATTGCCTGGCGAAGTTCATCTGTTCCAAAGTAGAGCTCCCGGGACACTTCCTCATTACATTTGACAATGAGAAAGGATCCTTCCTTTGTTCGTATCACAACGTCGCCGGGGGGGACGAAGGAAAACCTCGACCGAGGCCCTGCTGAAGGACTCCAGAGAGATGCTGCACAGAAGATTGTGGTCGCGGAAGCCAGAAGGACGATAGCTGTGGTCGCAGGGCCATCCTCAATGATGATGGCCCAAAGGAGCAGACCAAGAGTAAGAAGAGTAGTCGCTACGCTGAGAATATTGTGAGGCGATATGAGTTTGGCCTTCATCATGGGTAACGGCGGTTCAATGTAATTCAGCATCTTCTCCAAATTGGTGGTTTGGCGACGTAGAGCATCAGGATCCTGTCGATGCTTGATTTGCAGCACCCGGACGCCAAAGGTAGGAAGCATCGCGATGGGGTGAATTTGATTGGAAATATACGAGAGCTGCGACATCGTGGTGCCTGAATATACGCCAACAATAGAGGCGCTCACTGATGCGAGGGCTATACGTCGATTTGGTCGGATCAGCGCTTGGGGGGCTGGGATGAGGCGGGGAAGAAGGCAAAGGTATGAGGCGGTCATGGGCTCAACGCAGGTTTCCGTGGTTGTTTCGCCAATAACAGCAAGTAGACCGACTGCATCCAACTTCCAGTCATTGCGGGAGTTTGGAAACTCGAGAACCATGGCGTTTACGCTTGCCCTATGATTGATGAGTCTTGTTAGACACAGGGTAGCGGTGATTAATGCACGAAGGGAATAGCTCACTCTCAGGTTTTTTAGACGACTTCTCAGCTGAATCACGAAAAGCCCCGCAATCAGCCCTCGTATTTTACTAATGAATTGGCAAGGGGCTGATAGGTCACCTTAGGTCAATATACTATACTTAGCACACCTGATCGGATTACCTACCTAGGGGGGCTCTATTTCTAGATACTATTTATATATCTATATTATATAGAATTTTAAATTATAATAAAGTGTCTCTATTGTTTTATAATCAATAAAGGTTTTATATTTTATATTTTAATACCATGATCATTTAATTTGTAATATAAAAAGCCTCTGGGCAGTGTCAAAGGTCCATTGCAACAGACTGCGAGTTATCGAAGCCCACGGAGGCTTACAATCATGAGAGAACCTTCCCTGCTACGGGCTTGGCCACGCCAGAGGCTGAAGAGCAGACTCTATCGAACATGGCAAGTCAGCCACACACTACGGTGTCACATGCCACGAGTACTTCTAATAGAGCTTCAACTTTAGAACCCCGGCCAGGATCAGTAGGGAATGCGTCTGCTATGGAGACTACGAGCAGTGCTATCGGAGCTTCTGAAGAGTCTGGCAGTGAGTCAAGCTTCTCGCCCGCAATTGGGTGTCCAGAAACTCACGAGGCACTCACTTATACCCGTAAGCTTCCTTCTAAACAAAGAAGAGTCCAACGGTTGCCCGCCTTTTTAAAAATTGAGACCACAATGATCTTCGTTGGTTGTTCAAACTTTTAATGAATTCGGCATGCCCTAGCCTGTTACATATCGCAACTATACAAGCGACCGCTTGCCTAATTCCAGACACTAGGTAATTGTTGCTTCATTCAATGGCTGTAAGCTCGTATACGAGATTTTCAATATGTCTTATCAATTCCTGGCGCCTGACACCCTGCCAGGGATGCAAAGATAGAGCACGTCAAATAGTCCGCTTAGTCCCTCTCTCAGCTTCCTGTTTAGCCAAAGTACCAAAATGTTATAGTCATCCATGCCCCTTACTAGAACCGAATAGAATAACCACCCAAATTTACTTTCATTCCTTCGAGTAACGCCAATTTTAATTGGGCATGCTTTTTCTATCAAGAAGAGGGGTAAAGAATGGCCGAGGCCGTAGTGGCTGGTGTGAGGGATTTCAGCCGTGACTCCTACACCCATGACCGTGCTTCTTGTCATCCTATAAGTATTGCACCCTCGCCGGAAAGTCTAGTTAACATCCTGGCATCCTATTTAACAGTACTCCCCTCCTTACCACCATCTTAGAAAAATTGCTACTTTTGCCTCATAAAAAATGGCTGAAACCAACCAGACGATTGTTCTCATCACGGGGGCTAATACCGGCATCGGCTGGGAGACTGTAAAGGCTCTCCTTCAATCAGATCGCTCCTACCATATTCTTATGGGGACCCGAGATCTAAAGAAGGGGCAAGAGGCTCTGATATCACTGAAGGGCGTCGCTTTCAACATCAAGAGCACGACTGAGCTGCTCCAGATCGATGTCTCGAGTGATGAGTCGATATCGAAGGCTTTGGATTTGGTTCAAGCTACTCATGGGCGCGTCGATGTACTAGTGAACAATGTAGGTTAGTTCACCACTCGAAATATCGCATCTTGGCCCTGGAACTTCGCTAAGAGTAGATAAGGAATCGCATTGGATGCTGAACTTGTGTTTGGCGACATCACTATGCGTGAGGCCTGGAACATGTCCTATGACGTTAATGTGTCTGGACCAAATATCCTGACCTATACGTTTGCTCCTCTCCTGCTCAAATCCTCTGACCCTCGACTGATCTTTGTCAGCAGCGGGTTGGCCAGTCTTGGGCGGATGAGCGAGGCGCATTATCCGGCACCCCCGCCAATCCCGGCTGGCTGGCCAAAGAAGGGTGCGTATCTACCAAGCTCGTACCGGGCCAGTAAAACCGCTCTGAATATGGCTATGCTATCGTGGCACTGGATACTGAAGGAGGACGGGGTCAAGGTGTGGTGTGTGGAGCCAGGTTTCCTCGCTACGGGACTTGGAGGGGAGAGAGCAAAAAAAGCCAGGAGTGGCGCTGGGCATCCTTCAAGTGGCGGGAAGCTTCTTGTGACTGTTATAGAAGGGGATAGAGATGCTGAAGTTGGTAAGATCGTCAATCGGGGAGGCATTCAGCCATTTTAAGATGGATGGGCCTGGAGTATACTAGCAAGAAGGTCTCTCGAAACGTGGGGCACTATAGAACACCATAATGACCTCTGTTTTGGCTTTGTGTTGGCGTGTTTTCAAGACTCTGGCCTGTGACTCTCAAGAGCTTTTTCGATTTCCAGTGCAAGCTTTTAAAGCCACTCGACTCCTGTGGAGACTAAAGGTTATTCAATCCGCAAATTCTTGGTCTCGAGCGAAGATGCTAAGGTCTCGCTCGATGCCACGGGTAAGCTAGATGGTTGAGCAGTCTCCCCATCCGATTTTTTGCGTGATAATATCCCGGCTCCTTGAATCATTCACTCACGCGAAGACACAGCCTAGAAAGCAAGTCACCGAGGATAATGAGATGTAATCCATGGCGCTCATACCTGGTCAAATCCCGGCAGCCATCCCCTCCATGATAGAATAGGCCCAGCTTGACGGGAGCAGGAATGGCCTGCCACAAATAGCTTGATGCTAGTCCAGTAAATCCTTTGATGGGAAGAAGGTTGAAAACTGCACGAAGATTTCAATGTTAGGGGCGCGGGTTGGCTATTGCGTAGGGAAGGGCGCGTTTCCCAGTGAATGGCAGTGAACCAGTGACATCATATTTCGGGCCCGGATTGAATTGTGAAGATCAAAGTTTCCGGAAACTTGATCCTCGTAGCCTAGCCAATAAATTGTCCCTCTTCTGTTGGAAGGATCAGCGTGTTAAAATTGTCCCCGGACGTGTGGTAAGTGACGGCGACTTTTCGGCGACAATTAATTAGATATATATCATCAAAGTAGTCACTGATGATGAGACTGGATAAAAAGAGAATCATTCACATCTTGATAAAATAAAACTAAGCCCACGATGAGACTGTCTACAATTTGGCAAGCTATATTCTTGGCGTCAGCTATAGACGTTGCAGCAGGCTCTTGGGCCACTCTCCCCTCGTCCGCCACAATCCCTGTCGAAGAAATTCAAGTAACAATCCCTCCTGAATCCCTTCGATCTTTACAGGAGGATCTCTCACCAGTACGGGAATTCCCTCTGACCTACGAGAATACCCAAACCGATTTGCGATATGGTGTTAATGCAAGTTGGGTCGCACAATCAACCGCTTATTGGCGAGAGTCGTTTGACTGGCCAAAATTTCAGGAGCGGATGAACAAACACCCCAGTTTCTTTGCAAATTTGACTACTCCGGCCGGCGATTCGATGGGAGTGCATTTCATGGGGCTTTTCTCGCAAAAAGCTGATGCGATCCCAGTCGCATTCTTCCATGGCTGGCCTGGAGCTTTCCTCGAGTTCATCGACCTTCTCGACGTGATCAAATCACAGTTTAACGCCTCGTCTAGTCCGTATCATATCATTGTGCCATCCCTACCTGGCTTCACTTTATCTTCAGCGCCATCCCCGGAGAGCAACTGGGGAACTGCAAATACGTCTGCTTTGATGGATGATCTGCTCTCGGGTCTTGGGTTTAAAAGTGGCTATATCGCACAGGGAGGTGATATCGGCTCGTTTGTTGCCCGGACATTGGCTTTGACCTCGGAGAGCTGCAAGGGTGAGATGATCTGGGCGGTGGAATCTATGCAGAAGCTTGCTAACAAACTGTAGGTATTCACTTGAACATGATCCCAAGCATCAAGCCAGATTCCGCTCCACCAGTCAGCAACGATAGCACAATCACCCCACAAGACCGTGAGGTTCTCGCTCGGTCCAAAGAATTTTTCGAAACACAACAGGCATATGCCATTCTTCAAGGGACCAAGCCCTCAACTCTGGGTTTCGCCCTACATAATAACCCAGTTGGCCTTCTTGCCTGGACCGGCGAGAAGTTCATGGCATGGACTGACCCATCTCATCCTCTCGGACTAGACCACATACTCCAGTTCGTGTCCATGTACCACCTCACGCAGACAATCTCACGAAGCTTCTATTCGTACCGCGAGACCTCCAACACCATCACGCCCATTTTTACACCTGCCCCATATATCAGCAAACCGATGGGATACAGCAGATTCCCATATGATAATACCGGAGTGCCGGAACGTTGGGCTAGAGATCTTGGAAACCTAACGTTTTACAGAGCTCATTCGGAGGGTGGTCATTTCCCTGCTCTAGAGCGACCGGAGCAGCTCTGGGAAGATGTTACAAATTTTATAAAGGGAGCATTCCCTCAGGGGCACTTTTGAGGTTGAAAATACGAGCATATCCTGGAGGAAAGCGTGCAGCCGTACCTATAAGTCAGCAACTACAAAAGTTATCTCTACTCTCTAGTATGAAAAGAATCCATCAGAAGATTTTACCCAATTTACCCAATTTTGCTTGTCTAAATTATCATGTGTTAGAGGCGAGGAATATGAATTAGACTGAAGTATTTGTAATACGTATCCATGGCCCGGTGGGTTTGAAGACATTGGTACTTAGATTTCACAGAGGTTGTGTTCATCAGTGAATCTCGTGACAGTTAGTGGTCCAATGGCCGTAAAAATCCTTTATTCAATGTGACTATGGAGCCGGCGCTGAGCAGGGCCAAAATATATCCTACTCAGAGATCTTCAGCTTCGGAATCATCAAACACCAATTCAATGCCCATACGGACCATCACATATTCAATGACAAACCAAAACATGTAAAACAATTGCCTTTCTGACGCCAAAGCAATAAGTTCATGTATCAGAACCATAGAAAGATTCCCACCGGCTTTCAAGTGATCCAACAGAAGTTCCAACATAGGGACGTTCTCCACTACGAGCGCACCGCAGGGTGCCTCTTCCTTGAAATGTCCTCCTTTGCTCAGCAGGTTCTTCACAAGGCTGATATTGCCCGAGCGTACCGCAGCACCCACCGTACTGCAGTAGAGGACGGTAGGCCGATTGACATCTGCTCCGTATTCTAGCAGGAGGTCTACTATATCCTCGTATCCCTGCCTGGCAGCAATCCAGAGCGGATGCATACCCAATTGATGCTCATGACCCCGAGTATGAGCACCAGCATCAAGAAGACCCTTGGCAATCTCAAAATTGCCGAGGTCAGCGAAATGCATGAGAAGGTCACTGCCATTGGGCTGGGAATATTTTCCCTTCTTCTCTAAGAAATCCGGAGGTAAGGAAGACAGAAGTTTCGAGAAAACTTCCCATGTTTTAGCGAAGCGTAGAACGTCAAACGAGACTCCTCTGTGGGCTGGCACATCGTCAGTGCCATCGAGGAATGCTGGGCATAGCGCAATATTAAGAATTTCCATATCGCCCCTTGAGGCAGCGCCGGCAATAGCGAAAGGAAATGTTCCCTTGATGCGAGGGACTTCCTCCAACATCGGGTGATAATAAAGATACTTGTCCTGTCTCAGCGGAATGTTGGCTTGGCAAAGCTGCAGTGTAGTAACTTGTCCCGCTAGAGAAGCTGCTTCCATAGGACACGGGAAGAGCATGTCATGCTCTGTTGGATCGTTCCCATGCTCAAGCAGGCGTTTTGTCAAAGATACACAGCCAAGATAAGCTGCAGCGCTGAGTAGGCTTACATCAGGACTGTTGTTATTCAACGGAGGGGGTCTTGGTGTGAGTGCATCTGGTCCTCGCAAGATTCGCCTGTGCGGAACCGGCCAAGCGTTTCCTAATTGATGCGCAAGACCTAGCCAACAGAGATTTTTGATTGTTTGAAGAAAGTCCGCTCCGTTCTCGGTGCAAATGGCACTCGCTGTGTTTCGAACCTCAACGTACCGCTTCACGTTAGGATCGACTTCGTTAAGCACCCTATACACTAGGTACGAATGCCACAGTTTATGAGCGGCTTCTTTGCGCTTGCTGGTTAAAGGCCAGTACTCCAGAGTACCTGCTCTTGCAAGAGAAGTGCCATATGGTCGTATGTCATCCATAAGTCTCGTTTCGAAGAGCGCACTTTGAAACAACGCATCAAATTCCTCTGATAAAACGTCAATTAATCTGTCCCTCCTCGTTTTTTTCAGAAAGGGTTGGCAAATCTTACTACAGACAAGTCGGAGGTTCAGGACTCTGGAGGTCCCACGTACGGAATCGTCCTCGTCATATTTCAAGCGCGAGATAATGGAGAAGAATAAAATCCTCTGCAAGATTTCACTAGGAAATTCGAATATGAAATTAGGTAGGAATTCTTCTTCCATTGTGTCTGAATGAACAAACATGGGTGGAGAACGTTTGAGGGGAACAAATGTAAACAAACGAGGGAGGGCCATACATATTGTTGGTCGTGAGCCCAATTCAATTTCTGCCACGTCAGCATCGCTAGGTGTATTACCAAATTACCTACCTAGGTCCCAGGCTTTGTTTATTATTTTTAACATGTCTAAGCTCTCCACTGTTGGGGGCTACGCTCTGCAGCGTGGCTCGTCAACCGAGCTGCACGAGGCAGCTCGGTTGGATACTTTCTCTACCTAGGTAGGTAGGCATTGTTGGTCCTGGAGCTACGCAGAGTGCGAGCAGTTTGTCGGCGCCCATCAACAAAAGAAAAATTTCCCGGGGCGACCGAATTGTCAAGGAAAAAGCGACTGGGGCAGGAGAATCTCCTCTCTGATACCGGCGCACAGCCAACACAACGCAGTCTTTATTGTAGAGCGACCACCAATTTGAGCCATGTAATAGTATCACATTTGAAAACCTATATGGCGTTGATTGAGAATCACGTATGTTCATAGCTTCGGGCCGAAAGCTGCATATAACTCCGAAACTTGTTGTTTGGTACCTATGTAATATAAATCCTCGAAGAGAACTTCTCAAGCTGGGTTCCGATCCAGATAAGTGCATCTTCATCGAGAAATCCTGTACTTCCAACCATACCAGTTATCCCTCTAACAAATAAAGCTACTTCAATGAATTGCGGCTTTCTTATATTCAGACAGGTAATTTTTTTTCTCCGTTTCCGGGCTGCAATAAGCGATCGGGGATCCCATGGGTGGGAACTCTATCAACGTGGAAGCATGTCAATTGTTTGGTTCCTAATAATTATTAGTTCAATTTCTTATTGCTGAAACGTAACATGTCTTTTGCTCTTCCTTATCTTCGCCCTTAAATCTCTTGTTTGAAAGATTAATCTTACGGTGGTCATTGTGTCTTGCTGGCTCTTGGATTTGAGTATAAATTTTAACAAGATAACTTCATGAACACAAACTTCTCCTCTTTACAGCTTATGAATTCTATTTTTTAGACTTTGCAATAAACCTTAATACGATAAAACGATCCCGAGTGATACCAAATGATTATCCTTTCAATTTACTGAAGTTGAGCTATTGGACACCTTCGGTTGAGGCCGGAACAGCTACTCGGCTGCAATGTAGTGATCTCGTGATAGCGCATAAGGTTCATAAGAGCCTTTTTACTTCCTTTACTCTATGCAAATCTATAGTCTTATTATCCTGGAGCAGTTTCAAGTTAAGAAGGTTTTGCGCATCGCCAATTTGATTGTCTAGATCGACTGGGGTCTTTATCATGTTGTACCTGTTAAGGAAGCTCCAGGGTAGGAGAGGAGGATGAGATGTGCGGGGCAGAAGGGCATTGATACCCCCTCATTCTAGTTTTATGTTGCCTTTAGATGATGATGAAAAAAGTGAGAATCCCTCAGCCTCCAGGTATGCTCATATCTCAGTCCGGATAACTTAAATTATAATTCGATAAAGAGAGAGCTGGATTTTTCCATTGCAAATTGTCTATTAAAAAGCTTGAAATGGCTGCCGACACTACAGATAACCATCAATTTCATCAGGTCTACAAGACCACCTTGATCCGCGCCGAGGACATGGAAACGCGTTTCATTCGTATCTACCCCGGACAAGAAAATAGTGAACTCAAAGCCGAGCTATTTACAGAGTCCCTCAAAACATTCAAAGACTATGTCGCATTGTCATACACCTGGGGCAACACCTTACCATCCCAGGTCCCCCACACAATCTACCTGAACTCCTACCCATTTGAGATCACGGAAAATTTGTGGGATGGACTGAAGAGATTACAGCGCCATTTCTGTACCTCTACACCGATATCAGTTTGGGCTGATGCAATTTCTATAAACCAGGATGATACAAACGAAAAGAATTTGGTAGTACCCATGATGAAGGACGTCTACTCCACCGCACGTCTGGTCATTATATGGCTCGGCGATGGGGATGAGCTTATTGATAAGACTTTTCAGGCTTTGGAGAAAATCTCAGCGCAGGTTGAGGATTTGCCAAAGTTTCTGCAAAGCCAAGATGACATACGAATCATTGCTGAAACAGCTGAGGTTGACATTGAAACGCTTGCTCAGGGATTTGTCGACGTCAGCAATCGATCCTGGTTTCGAAGAACATGGATTCTGCAAGAAGTTGCTTTGCCAACCACTTCACCACTGGTGATCTGTGGCAATAGTGTCCTCCAATGGGACCGATTTATTGAGGCCTTGGGGTACCTTCATCAGTTCTTCGTCGATGAGGACGAAGGAAAAGGACGAGTCATGCCAAAAGACCTACGCAGTATGATTCAGGGTGCCAATGGCTTAAACCCTCGCACGCCTAATGTCACATACCACATTAGGGAACACTATCATCACTGGAAGGGCGTCATCGGTGGTATACCATTTATGCCCTTGCTCGAGGACACGGCACTTTGTCTTTGCTCCGAACCAAGGGACAAAATCTATGGGTTCTTGGCGCTGGCAGATGATGAATCGAGAAAGCGAATTGAGGTCGACTACAACAAGCCCATCCAGCAGGTCTATACTGAAGCATTTGAACTCTCGGTGGAAGGGCTTCAAGGTTTTCAGACCTTGTCAAAAGCTGGGCTGCAGTTCCACACTGACCCGGACACAGCGTGGCCGTCTTGGCTTCCCAATTTTGACCGATGCGGTGAGCCCAGTTTCCTAAAACTTTTTGCTCAGGAGCAGAGAGGTCGCGGAAGTATATATAACGCGTCATTGGGGCTTCCTCCAATTATGAAGAGAGACAAGAATGAGTTATATGTGTTCGGGCTCTTTGTTGGCGAGGTCGAGTCAGCCACGCCGGCATATTCCCAGCAAGCAGTGCCGCAATCGGGTTTAGCGAATCGGCCAACACCCCATAATCAAACATCAAGCTGGGTGCGACTGGAAAAGGCCACGTCATTGTTGCTTCTAGAACAAGCAGGCTTGGAATCAGACGAGTGTTATACGGAAAATGGGCACGTGATACCAAATGACGGTTCCTTGGTATGCTCTGGGTGTATCTATGAGCCAGCTCTTGACTCAACTCCACGGACTGGCCAACAGCTTAACGTGTCTGTTTCTTATCAAGGAACTCCTGCGGAATGGGATTGGAAATTTGTTGAACCGACAGACAAAGATCACGAGATTACACCCATAGTGCCTTGTATCGAAGGCAAACCACTTAAAGAGGCCATTTGGAGAACGATGATTGCCGACCACTTTGCCTATTTGCCGTGGATGGAAGAAGGGGTTCCGGCGCCCGACTCTTGCTCTACGGCCGTGTTAAAGTACGCATCCCATCAGTCAGGACGGCATGATCATTCGGTGGAAAAGGAGACAACTGTAGACGAGGACAGAGTGGCGCAGAATGCTATGGTAGTTGCGCTCTCCGGACGGTGTGTCTTGAGAACCACAAATGACTGGATTGGCCTTGGGACGGTCAATACGCTGCCGGGAGACGTGGTTGTAATTATCGCGGGAGCTGATGTGCCTTTTATTCTTCGGCCGTTTGGGGATCGGTATCGTCTGGTGGGTGAGGCATTCGTGGAGGGCTTGATGTTCGGAGAACTATTTGAGGACGATCCGGTATTCACGGGCGAGCCGCAATCTGATCTTCAATTGGAGGGCTTTCTCTTGTTTTAATATTCGAGAAGGTGTAAGCATACGATATCCAGTCGAGATATTATTCTACAAAAGGCAACGTTGATTAATTTTGTCATTTACATAGCAAGGTACCTCTTCCAATTGAGGTTGAACCACCCTCATTTATCTCAACATCCCCTTCTCCTTCTGTCCAAACATTTTCTAGCCATCGAGTGAGGCCTAAAACATGAGTTTGTCATGATTTTTGGCCTCTCTGCCCTAGAACCTGGATAAGAACATGCATCTAGCCACCAAAATCCACACTCATTGCTGGATAGTACTCGCCGCGAATATTAGAGAAAGCCTGGCCTGTTGTTTGTCAATATCTCCATCATTTAAGATTAGAATTAGCGGGTATAACCAGAGTAAAAGCGCAGTGTCGCGGTTAAAATTAACGCCGCAGCCTATAACAGAACCCAACATAATTGAAGAACTCACCAGCACAAAGTGAAACTAATGACTACATGTACAGGCTAGAGTGTTAAAATTATACTCGCGAATCCAAACTTCTACTATTTACGGCTCATGTATCATAGCTATAGGTTTATTATTTCAAGCCTCGATACGATAGAGCGACCCTGGAGGTTATATAGCCCCCAGCAGTGATACAGTTATAATGCTACCAAAATTAGGATAAGTTCAGCTGGCTCTTTCAATCTCTGGGTCGGGGCCGGAAACAAGCTACCGGTATGCCATAAGGCAATCTCGATATAGAGCAAAACGTTCATGAGAGCCCTTCTTGAGTCTTAGTTCTCTACGTAATTATAGAGCCTCTTACTATTTTAGAGTGATTCCGAAGCGAAAAGATTTTGGGCATCGCTAGATTGAATGGGTCGGAATCTGGAAGCTACGTCATCCCAACCCATAATCGGAATGCCTAGTGTTTCGCCTAAGAGAGGTGTGCCTCGAAATTTTTCAGACGGCGAGTCAGAGCAACACAACATTGCGAGAGAAGAAATGAACTGTCAAGATGAAAAGTAGTTTTAAGAACCAACAGAACAAAGAGACACGCCTATCAAAGGATACATATTGACAGTTATTTGTATACCATCCTTGAATATGTACTATCGGCTCTCATAATTATGAAACGCCTCAATACTTTGACCCGTTTAACGGGGCCACGCCAAGAAAACCCCTGATTATAATGGGGCATCGGAGCAAACACTAGAATAGGGCAGGGGTTAAGTGCGCGCTTGAAGAGGCTGAGTCCAGTCCGGATCTGCCCATTCCACTGACTTGCGCAATGATCGTCTCTCGCCATGAAAATGTGAGCGCGGTTGAAAACCCTCCTTTCCTTGCACCATCCCATCCAGCAGCAGCGATTGTCCTCCTTCTCGTGGCCGTTCCGTATCGTTCACTATGCACCATGGCCAGCTACTATGGCTGCTGTTCCACGCCATAGCCGTTTCCACCAGCCTGGGCGCCTACGTTGAATCCCGACCATGCGCCAATGTACGCAGCAAGAACAGCCTCTCGACCAGCGTCACCGCGGGACTGAGGCCCCATGCGCACGGACAGACACTCAGCATCCAAGGCGCCAGCTTGGTCAGGGTGGCTGAATGCGAGGGACTGGCAGCTGTCACTGTGAATCTGACTACCGAGGGCCTTGGATGGAGAGTCTCGAATCAATTGACGGCAAATACGACTTGCGAACCCATGCCCTGGGCAGGAGACGGCATGCGTCTGCTCCGAACAAACGTTTCCCATAACATCGAACGAACCGTCCTCTCGACCTTCCGTACGCGCATCGAAATAGCCAACAGCAAAACCGCGGACCGATTTGCCTGTTCCCAGGTCGAAATAGCACCGGAGATCGATCTCGTCACATCTCGCGTCCTACGATGGCTGCCCTGCGCGATCCTGATATTCGTCTTCGTATACGGCGCGATTTACTCGTTATACGACCATGAACCGACAGAACACATCATAGATGGCGTTAGACTGCTGCGGACAGAGACTCGGCCAATACTTCCCCTGTTTGGCGATTGTCTGCACTATCTGCAGTTTGTCTTCCTCTCTGGGGGCCTCAGCATCTCTTATCCGGGCTTCTATCGCCCTGCTGTTAGCAAGCTGAGTTGGTTCTCTCTATTCCACAGCGGACCAATCACACACAGACTCGCCTACGACGGTGTTCGCGATGGCATCTACGAGGTCAACGGCACGTATGGCGGGACCTACGGGCTTGAGATAATGCATCAGATTGCTGCCACGCCTGGAACGATTGATACTTGGTTCAATATGCTGGTCACTATCCTCATCATCACCGTATGCGCCGGCATCATCCTGGAATGTCTTCGCCTTGTCCGCAAGCCGCAGCGCACTTCGCTGGATCAGACGACACCTGATGTTCGCAGCAGCTTCCGCCACCGGGTCGCCTCTCTGCTTCGCGTGATTTTCTCGTACTTCACCATGCCGCTGATAGCCATGTCGTTCTATCAGCTTGCCAACGCCATGTGGCTTCCTCGGACTCACACCGTCTACGCTGTCTTCCTGATCGTCTACATGGCGGCGCTCTTTTCGTGGCTTCTGTACCAGGTCCCTCCCCGGAGTCTTGGGCGTCTCCTCCTGAATAAATCTATTCATTACCAGAGCCTACTACCAGGGGATGCCCCAGCGCCAACCCCATCTGATGACATCTTCGTTCTAGTGCTTTTCACGTTGCTGTTCATCAGAGGAATGGTGATTGGCGGCCTTCAGAAATGGGGCGCTGCACAGTTGGTAGTTCTTTGCGCCTGCGAAGTGGTTTTACTGGGTTGTATCTACCTGCTCAAGTCACACCCGCTTGGATCTGTCGTTACTATTGGGGCTGTTGTCAGGCTTATTGCCACGGGGCTCATGGTCGCCTTTCTGCCTGGTGCTTCGAGCATGGCTACGAAAACGAATATTGGGCGCGCGATCTTGGTTCTGCACGCCGGGATGCTGCTTGGGGGCTTCTTCGTCCCGTCTGCGATAAGACTTGTCAAGCTACTTGTCAGGAGGTGGAACGGCCCCAAGGCTGATGTTTACGGCCTACGGCAGCTTCGAAGACGGCAACCAGCAAGGACGAACCTGTCTCCAACACCACAAGGCGTAATGCTGGACGTGCCTGGCCGCGAAGGAGAGGAGTGGGGGCCTGGAGCTCAGTCTCCTCAGAGCGGCACTCCCATTCCTTCAAGATTCTACTTTCGTCCACCGCGCTCAGTCTCTTCACGTGGTGGCTCACCCGTATCAGTGGTCTCTCCTTGCGTCACACCTACGCATAAGCGTGGTCCAGCCTCGATTTTAGTGTCTCCGATAGAGAAAGGCCTCCCGCTGGACTGGACACAACGCGACCAAAAGGCGTCGGGAGCGTTCCACTACCATAGCACATCCCGGTCGTCTGGGTCGTCTGGGTCGTCTAGGTCGTCTGCAGATAGCCATTCCTCACCTAGCCAATCGATTGGCGATGGCGGAGCGGAGTCTTCTGAAAACGTGCTTCTTGTCCTGCCATTCAACGACTATACCACCAGAGAATCGGATGCTTATCATCTAGGACCGGGTGGAAGAAGGGTTCATGAATGGGGTACTCCTGCGGGAGCCTCAAGCGGTGAGGTGTCACAGTGGCCCCTCTTCGCCAATGTTCAGCAACTCATTGCACGGGTGTCGTTCAAGTTTCCTAATCCCTTTGGACGAAAGACAGACGCAGATTGAACTGCCTCTCCAGTGTTATAGTACCAAAATGACAATCGGAGCCCTGGCAGTTTCTCCTGCCTCCTTGCACAAGGGTGGGCGTGGGACGAGACCAGAAGGTCACGAAAGCCGAAGCCAACCTTTGCTCGCCTGACTCCTCTGGGCTCCTTTCCTAATGACAGAATAAGACCTCGCACAAATTTGCGATTGTCCGGATGCGTGGTTCGGTCAACTAAGATTAGACCCAATCCCCCCACTGTCTGTTACCTGCGTCTCGCGAATCAAACGGCGTTATGGAGGCAGCAGCATAGCTTCCGCAGGTAGTCAGTGCCTCCGTGATCCAGTCGAACCTCGGTTCATTTTGTCGGAGCATGCCGTAGGGGACACAGGGTGTTGATATCACGCCATGAAACCACGGACAACAGGAAGCAACCCCATCACGACTGAGCAACAGGAAGTTCCTAGAATTATCACTTTAGATATCATAACCAAGGTGGCCATGGGTTTGCTTTAAGGACGTGCTGGTCAGGCCGCCAGCTCACCAAGCCTCTACGTGCAGCATTCCGTGGCATCATTTACCACTCCAACTCTCGATTTCATACATTTAGGTGTGGATCCCTTTCAAGGAATTCTTGAATTCATAGAAGGCGGATGGGAAACTCATAAAATCTTTGGCTAGCTAAGCAAGTCTACTCAGTTTAAAAAGAGGCTATGCATCTTTATTGATGCTCAATGCCCAATTCAAGCCGCGTGCACATCCATCCCATCCTGCTGCTCATGCCACTTTGGTCCGTTCCATTTTTCATCGCAAGGCTACTCCTACGCCTCTTATCACCCACCCGTGGCATCAGGCTAGTACATGTGAGTAGTAAAATCACAGCGAAAGTCATCTATCCGTCAATCCAAGCCCTATTGGCAATATTCTCCACGTCGAAAGAACAACAAGAGTTGAAATACACAGCAGTGCATTGCAACTACTCTCCATCAAACTTGGCGCGTCAGTTTTGTAGCTTTACATATAGCACAGCAAAGATGCAATGAACTGTTCGAAGGTCGTGTCGTTAGCCCGGAGGTAGGCATCGAAGTCAAGAACTTCCGACTTGTCCTCCTCAAGGAAGACATGGCCATGATTTTTGAGCCAAAAAGACTGGATCGCAGGTGCCCGTGTGGGGTACCGGTTGTGCAACCGGACGATGTTGTTGAAGATTTGCTTCGCCTCCTTCCACTGGTGAAGCTGGGGGCTGGAGATGTGGAACCCTGTGAGGAGGTTGCGGTAAATGCCGAGGAGCATTTCGAGGTCCTCATGCCTGTTAGGGGCAGTGAGGGGTGTCAGGTAGTAGTCGTCTAGAGTCTGGGGATCATTGGGTGGTAGATCTTGGCCAACGGCGAGGAGGAGTTTTTTGGCTGTCGTGTCCTCGGTTGGCACGCACATATGCTTGCCCTTTTCGTGGCTCATCTCGCAACACCAGGGTGAGCAGAAGCTGCCCGTACCGCAAAAGAAGCATAGCACTGAGGCTTCTCGCTTCTTGCAACGCTCACATTGGCCCTGGGGTGATCCCAAAACGTTGGGTCGAGATGCGTCGAATTCGAGCTCAAGCGAGCTGTCCACAGACCAATCGGAACCGTCGCTTGACTCTTCTTCAGAGTCTTTGCTTGGCTCTTCCTCAGAATGATCCATAGATCCGTTGTTGGATTTGTTGTCGGGCTGGCAGTCCAGGTCGAGCGCCTTGCAGGAGGCCACAAGGTCATTCTCGAGGGCTGTGTTCGAAACGTCGTTAGCGATGTGGTCTAGATTGTTATTGATACGTTCAAAGGCAGACGGATTAATTCGGGATCTTACCTGATGCCTCATTTGGCTCAGGTGAGCAGTCACCGGTTTTTGGGTGTGGCTCAGACATGCTCACAGATTCTCAGTCGGGGTAGTGCGATGGAAGGTTGATTGAATGCTTGGCTCAACTAGCTGCAGTGTTTGGAGAAACCGCATGGGGAACAGGAAGTTCGGAGAAATTGATGTGATGGTGCAGAGTGAAAGTGTGGAGGGAAAGGTGTTGATGGGGAGAAAGAAGAAAAACCTTCTCTGGCTCTGCTTTCACCTTCTAGCAGTTTTCGGGCGCAGGACCTCAGAGAGCGCTCAGCGAAGGGTGAGGAGTCGCGTCGAACGGAATCAAACGCGCGTTCACACGCGCATCTATGAGTTGACAAACATGACACACGCTCTCACCTGCTGCTCACTTTCACAGACCCTATGCTAGCATCAATTGAGGTGACGCTGCGAGCTATACTGAATTTAAATAGGAAAAATCTCCTTCATATTCAAATCTACTCACGTCTACTTTAGTTATTGACAACTAATGAATCGTTTTTCCTTCCACAGTTTGCAACTCGGTGCCGCTTGTAGTCAGCTGTATTTACATATGAGATCGATCATTACGACATGAGGTGGTATCGACATTAAAGGTGCCAAGAAAACGTGGCCAGCAACGGAGAGTATCATCCCTGCTCCTGTCTCCGGGGCCGCTCTGCTCTCTCGTCGGCCGAGGGATCAATTGAAAGCATTTCATTTCTCTCCCCGGCCTCTTGCTATCTCTTATCATCGCTTGTCGTCAGCATCGGCGCAGTCCGCACGCGACCACTTGCCCTATTCGGCGGCGCTTGCAAAGGATCTTGTGGATCTGCGATAACCAAGCAAACAGCCCAACCGAACCAGGAAAGAGGTTTGGATCGCACGGAACGATTTTTCTTGGCTGTTAGCCTTGTAAAGATGCTTAAATTCCCGGTGCCTCGCCTGTCATGTTAGCATTAGTTGTTCACCTCCCTCAACTATCCCCAGTTCCAATCCGCCCATCATGCGTCTGAGCAGTCTCCTCGCCGGTGTCACCCTCGCCTTTGCCACATCCTCGCAGGCTCTGAACATCCTGCTGAATAACGACGATAGCTTTGGCTCAGCAAACTTACGCGAGGTCTACCGACTTCTAAAGAAAGATGGCCATGATGGCAAGAAGCCCAATCTATTGCTTTGGTTTGCCATGCTTCCTTGCTCATTGCTAACTGCGTCCTTTGCCAGTGTGGATTGTTGCCCCAGCTCTGCCCCAGAGTGGCCAGGGAGGCCGGTCAGAGTTTACCCAGTATGCCAACCTCACAGGCCCATCTCAGTATAACATTATCCCCGCGGGGGAACCATCGGTAGGTGGCAGCCAAGCACAACTGAAGCGGAAGAATCTTACTAACCTTCATTCAAGGTTGGCCCGGATCCAATTGACAGCCATATCTGGTACTACAACGGAACACCAGCTGCCTGCACCTTTGTTGCCCTAGACTACGTTCTCCCACGCTTCGCCGACTTCAAGGTGCCTGATCTTGTGGTCACCGGCCCCAACTATGGAACCAACCTCGGTCCTTTTGTCTGGACTCTTTCCGGAACAGCTGGCGCTGCGTGAGTGCATAACATCGCCCCTCTCCCCGTGCTGCTCTGTAATTTAACCAGAGAGACAGATATGCCGCGACCCACCGCAGCATCCCTGCCATCGCCCTCTCAGCAAGCAACAAGGCAACCCCGTACTTTGACATTCACAACGAGACCAACCCCGCCACTTGGGCCGCCGAGGTGGGCGTCAAGGTTGTCAACACCGTCATCAACAGCGCGCCCAAGGGTGGGCCTCTTCTGCCCCTCGGATACGGCCTCAACGTCAACATCCCCGAGCTCAAGGGCAACCACTCCGATCTTAAGTATGTCCAGACGCGCATGACTGGCAATGCCCACGTCAACGAGGCTGTGCTGGACGCCGAGAAGGGAACCTTTGATTGGGCCAACATCAAGCCCTATGCTGCGGGTGTCAACACCTGTGTGAATGGTGACTGCTCTCTCGAGGGAGAGACGTATGTCGTTGAGAATGGTGCCGTTTCCATTTCCATCTACATCGTCGACTATACGGCTCCAAGCAGTAGAAGCACCAAGAGCATTATGCAGCGCATCAACCCCTTAGCTCCTTTGGAGTAGCTGCGATGATGAAGCACGATGTGTACGGGGTCTGTTGGAAAATTTCATGTTAATGAGCTATGGAGCCGAATAATGTACCAACCAGCCGTAATTCATAAATAATAATTCACTCGAACATGAGAAACAGTCAAAAGTGGCATTAACATTAAGGGTTTCCTTTCCTTTTCCAGATCGATGGTTATACCAAAGCCACGTTGATCATTTCGAAAAGGTTGCGAAGAGCAGTAATGTATTGATCTATCGGTCAGCTAATTATCTCGAATGCTGTTGTCAAGCGCCACACCTCTTGCGATTTGTACCGATCCTCCTAGGGTAATAAGCGAAGTCGATCTAGGACTTTATCAAAGTCGTGAGAGAAAGACGAAGCAATCGGGCAACACTTTCATCCCTTGCATCATTGGATGCTTCCATGATCATAATTGCTGCGGATTGATTAACTCGTGTTCTGTCCTAGGCTTTGGCGAAGCATCGAATGTTTTCGTCATGATTTAAGCGTTATTTTCCGTCCGGTTACTCGAACAAGGGCATAGCTTTAGTAGCCTCCATTCTGTCGTTTAAGTGCAGAAATACAAGTCCATCACAGTGATTGCGTTGAGCGCCAGGCCCTTTAAGTCGTTAGTACTTGAGGGTGAAAGCAAAATGGGAGAATAGAGATGTGAGATCGCCTCTCGTATCATCTCCTTATGCAAGAATACCTACTTTCACATCAAGGTGGGCCTCGAGATAACTTGACTTTCCTCATCCTATTCTCCCTTCTTGCCTAAATTAAACAAGCTCAGTTGGAACGTCGTGGGTTATGTCCGATTCCCTAATGCTGGTCAGACCTAACTTGACCTAGGGAACTGGTCCTAAGTCGGCCTCGAGAAGGTCTCTCCTCTGCTTTCAGAAGCGGACGAAATTCCTAGTCTTCCTTGCAAGTGTTTCACGGAGGTCGGAGCTCCAGAATTTCTCATTTTCTAGCTCCCTTCCAGAGATCTCACCTTTTTTTCTCCTTGCTGTAAAAGGGTCATAGTCTTTCACTCATTGACGTAATCCGACTCTGCCACAATTAAATCAGTCTGCCTCGTGACCTCTAGGCATGCGTGAGCTCGTAATTCTCATGTTTGAAATTTACTTGAAAGAGTGATTCGTATCTCATCAGGCGACCGCTTGGGTCATAAATAAAACACAAGAGTGCCGGTTATCCGACTGCATCTGTGTGATCCAGTCAACCGCGATTCATGGAAGTGCGGTCAACCCAAACTGCAGCTCTGCCAAGCTGTTACGCTAACAAAGGCATAAAATTCGTGGAACGGCCCAGTCAAAATCGAAGAAATTCCTTAGCCGATCATCCGAAGCGTCATGCTTGCATTTGGGGCTGAAGGATCTACAAACGCTAACGTATAAAAAATGCAAGCCTCTTTTGAATACGAGGTTTCGAAGGCAAGCATGAATATGACGAGTATTACCGCTCATTCACAAGATTAGTATCACGCACACTGTTGATATTATAAAATGGTAGGAATATCTGACTGAAATGAATACCTGCAACCAAAATTCCAAGAATTCAGTCGGTTCCAGAAACTAGCCAAGATGCGCCTCACCACAACTTCTGTTCTTGCGGCTTTAATTGCCACCTCTCAGGCATACATACAAGCTATCTCTGTGCCCGAGACTATCAAGCCTGGAGATACAGTCGACCTCAAACTCATTAGCGCAACCAACATGATGACTATCGATGATATTGCTGTCGCTTTTGGATATGCCACAGGAAACGGCTATGCTGGCGCACTTGGAACCAATCTGGGTTCTTTTTATCTCGGGCCCAGTACGTTATTGCCCGATAATCCTTATAGAGGTAATCAATATCTAACTAGCAGCAGGTGAATCCAACTTAGGGTCAACTGTTATAACTAAGACCGTGACTTTCCCTTCCGAAATTCCTAAAGGCAGCGGTGTTGTTTCGGCTGGTCTGTTTAGCTTGTTTGGTGCTGCCAAGTCTCCAGGCCTCACCAACTGGAACGTCACAATCACTTTTGGGGATGCTACCTCAAGCACGTATAAAAATAGTAATTAACTTATAAATAACATGTGGTCGTCAGAGAGGATTGCTATAGACTTGAATCAAATTCTCGCGTGCATCTTTCTTCCTTGTTGTCCCTGCTTTGTATTCCAGTTGATATGTTTGATCCGAGGACTAATCCCAGTCACAGTTGCGTCACGTTCCAGTGATTGCATTAATCGACTACGAGAGCGATGTGTACAAATTGGCCTATAGTAGTTCTTGCCTTTGCTATTTCTTCCATCTTCTCTGTCTTGGACTTGTAGGGCGGAGTGATCATGTCGCTCACCCAATTGCGATTACGTCAATGTAACCCCTTCTAGCATGAAAACCAACTTAAATCTTGCCTTCACAAATAACAAATATCTGCATATAGATAAGCCTATGTCTTCTCTTGTTGGTATTAATTGAATACTAATTATTTTCCAGCTCTTTATTTCACGGCTGGCAGCTAACCAAAAACAACAGTAAAACCCATCTCCTGCTCTACCATCTCCCAAGACCTAAACGGATCACTCCACGTTTTGAGAATAATTTCTGAGGCGTGATCAATATTGACCATCCCCTGCCGCTGCTGAAGGCAGCTAAATGTCTGGGTGGCCATCAATCTATCCTCTTTCGTTACAGCCTCACTCGCCGCAATAAAAAGAGGCCAAAGCAGTGCGCTCACTGGACCATTTGAGGAGGTTACCTCCATACAGTGGGTCAATGTAAGGCGCACGTTCTCTTGAATACAGCGATGGTGGCGGGGTCGTCCGTAAGCAGCTTTGTGAAGCTGCAAGAGAGCGGCATAACGATAGGCGAGTGCATTGTGGAACATGGCGCGAATGGTGAGGCAGTCAGGCGTGATCTGGCCATCTTGACGGCTAATGTTGCCGTCAGATAGGACGTAACCTTGGGGGACAACTGGCACCCAGGTCTCAAGTGTTTCTTTCAGAGTAGCTGCCGAGGTCTGGATGGCAATATAGAGAATGTCGGAATCAAATGCGTCACCGGCCTCTACCGCGATCTTCCACTCCTCAAGACGAGAGAGGAGGACGCCAAGGCGATATAACAAGGGCCATAATGTTTCTGATAGCCCAAGTAAAGGGTCGACAGCACCGGGTTGTGGGTTGCCTTTTGGGTAACCCCTATTATTGGCAACGTCTTCTGGTGGGGTGAGAAGCGGCTTTGCTCTTGTCGATAGGGAATGAATCACATCATAGAATCCCAGTGCCTGTTAAAGTATTAGTGTCATTCTCGACGTTTAATTAGCAGTCATACCTTGTGGAGGAAATTAAATTCAAACTGTTTGGATGCCTCGATTTTTCGAAGTAGGCGCGAGGAGTCTTGAAGATGCGCCTTCATGTTTGGGGACGACTCGCACCGAACGAGCTAAGGATTAAAGTCAGTATCACCAATTAAATAAGTTCTTTCTATCAACTTACTGCCTCGAAATATACAAGGAGGATGATAGCAATCAAAGTTTCTTGGGGGCTCAAGCCATTAGACATGGAGTGAGATATCCCCTCCAAGCTTCGGTTGTAAAAATCAACAGAACTCTCCTCGAGCTGTTTCCCGGTATTCTCAAGGTGAGCAGCAGAGAAAGCTAAAGCCGCATACAAGACAGGCGAGTCTCGAGATTCATATATGATTGGCATGATACAGTTTCGGAAAGGGTTGAATGGTTCCTCGCTCAAGACGATTAAATGCGATAGCACTTCAGAGTAATGATGGAGCAACTCTCGATGACTTGTGCTCCAGCATGGTCGCCAATCACACGGCGGTGTGAGATCTTGCCACGGATTGGTATACTGAAGCGAAGGAGAATTGTCTTCAAGCCAATCTACTTGGCCAGACATGTATTGGAACAGATCACCATCGTTCCAAATGGTATCCAAGTCCCCTTCGTTGCCAAATGACGCCCACATATCAGTCGACACCTCAGACTCTGGTGTCACCATGCCCAAGTCATTGGTCGCTGGACTATTGTATGCATCATTCATGCTCGAGATGGTCAGCCAAGAATCTCCATTGGCTGACACTGATTCGCTTTGGTTGCTCGAGGTTGTTGTCTGATAAACACACTCCAATTGCCGCTTGACGCATCGGTCGCATGTTGGCTTCGTCTCGCAACATTTTTTCCTCTGACATGCAAACACTAGTCAGCATCCGGATTGTGTAAATGATCGGAAATACTTACGGCTTCTTTACTATATCCCAGTAATTGGCAATCAGCTCGGGCATCTCAAAATGGGACAGGTAAACATACCATGCAATACATCCTTCACTGGCAATTAGCTTGGACTTCACTATGATTGAAGGGCATAGATCTACTTCACTTACCAGCGCGAGATCTTTTCCCTTTAGGCTTCGGTACGCCAACCCTGGCCCAGAGTACTCTGGTACGGTTGCCATTAGGCGTGCCACGAGGGGTTATCGACAGGCTAGAGGGTGTCGACATATTGTCCAGCGGAGAACGGAATGGGTCGATAGCAATCGCTAAGGCCAACAAATTGGCAGAAGAGGAGGCAAAGTCCAACACAGGTATCAAACAAGACTTGCAGATAGTGGTTTCTTATGCTTGCCGAACCATCCCCTACCGTGCCCAACTTAAATTAACTCAGACGGGTGGATCGAGGCCAGGTCTGATCATCATCGAAGAAGGCTTCTAGAAACAGCTGCACTTGCCTGCAGCCCACCGGAACCGTCACAGATCCTCCACAACACGAGTTGCCCGGCGTCAATGGTCCTTGGCAAACCTTCCCGGTCCTGGAGCATGGTAGATCATTCCATGCATAGAAGGTTATCGCTGCATGGACGTTTTCGCGAACATTACTTCCTATAGAATGATCACCTCGGACATTTCTGTGGTTGTCTATTGGCTTATAGTCAAGTAAGCCGGCAAGGATGGCTTTTACCCGCCATTCATCTGACTGGTGCGGTTCGCTCGCGCAGGATGGGTTGCTCACGCCAACAGCCCTGTCTTCCCCGCTCATTGTAAGCTACCCGTGGGAGATGTCGAGAGGTCGAAGCTCCAAATGGTTAGTCACCGCTCCCGAAACATTACAAGAGGAACGCAGTTTCCACGTGCCCAAGTTCGTCACATTGATCGGGCTCGGGATTGGGTCGTCAGGTTCAGGCTATGGTAACACCCGTCACATCGAGCAAGCTGGCTGGCAAGGATTCCTCATGCAACACGTAACTAGCATTCATACAGGAATCAAAACGTACAAGATTTGCTGTCTTCTTGCCAACCAGCAGCCGCTTTGGGATCAACTGTCATGACTCTTTCCGATATACGGTTCCGATTCTCATGTTTCCCGCGGAATCCGGCAGTAGTTGGTTCCTCACTTGTTAAAGACCACATGAGCCGTAGGAACATTCAGTTCCTGCCATGATTCACTCCATTTCCGTCGCAAAATGCCCCTAAGTCGAGCTAGGTGTACTTTCCCTAGCAAAGCATACAATCTCGATTCGGAAAATAAGCGGGATGCTATCTTCAATATATCTTTGGCATTGGAAATATGTTGGCAGCCTTGCCATCTCAAGCATGCATCACAGTTTGTGTTACCTGTGGCGAACCGGCGATTACCGCAAACACGAATCGTGCGGGGGAGGGGAGACCCTTGGGCTTAAATTGCAACGTCAGCTGGCTTCATCTGATCTCCTCCTCCTCAGCTCTCCTTGGCCCCCTTGCATCCCTCCCAATCAATCTGTGCTAGCTCAGCAGCGTTCCCCATCCCCCCTCATTTCCAGGCCTCGCCCCCTCAGTTTCATAGCCGGCCCAACCCCAAGTGTTCGCTTCTCTGGATCACACCCTCTTCCCTCTGCCGATCACTTGAGCAAGCTCCGAAGGGGGAGCAACCCTCAAAGTGTGACATTATGCCATAGCCTTCCGCAGCGCACTTGCTCACATGCGATAGTTTCAAAAACATTTCGCCATCTCCATTCCTGACTCGCGGCACACTCTAGCCGTGCGATCTCCTTCAGGGAAGCGATTTTCAGCCCTCAGGCGCCCTCCTGCCACATTGTCTCATCTGCATATTTCCATACCCTGTCCGAACCAGGAGACCGGCCTCGAATTGGTAAAGCCGCCTCCGCTGGACCTGGTGAAGCTTACGAAACGGCTACTGGCTCATTTCAGCAGGGCCTGGGGAACCCCTTAACCCCCTGGACCCCTCGTCAGTCACTCCTCCGGAGCAGACCACTCGTCTATGCAGCGCGTTCAGGCTGACCAATCCTACCCTGGCCCTCATCTCGCACCTCCCAATTGTGTCTGCTTCTTCCGCTGGACCAATTGTACTGGTCCACACCGCTGCTGTCCTCTCCGCAATCCCCAGATTGATCACCCCTGCGTAACCACAATACTGCCCTAGATCCCATGTCAGCCTCTCCCTGTGACTTCCCTGGTCATTGTGGCACAGAAATCTTTCGACTCGGGTGGGGATTTAACAATGGCAGACCCGGTTATCGCCATGCCCATCGTGTTCCGCAAGCTTTTGCGAGTCTTATCGCCAAATGAGCGGATTTGCAGCGTCAACTGCTGAAGCGTCATCGCAGCCATGGCGGAGGCGCTCTTCCTCGAACTCAGCTGGGGCGTGCTCAGCTCCATCGGGATCGCGTGCTTGCTCTTTGGATTCCTGATCATTGGCATTACGGGATGGAGCGCTGCGGCGTCGGTCCCAATCATCTCGTCGGTCGCGGGCTGCTTGGCAAACGCCCTCTGCTACTACGCCTACTATCAAACTCACCCGCCAGTCAACACTGCGGTTGCATCTGCATTTGCAGATGTGATGTGGATGGTAAGTCGCTGTTATAATTTTACTTGATCACGCAATTTTCCAAGGTCGTAGCGACGTTTCTGATTGACGCTGGTCGCCGGAATAGGTTCAAGAAGCCAGCCTGTCTTTCTACAGCTACATCATTCTCACACGCGTCCTCATCCGGAGGTCAAGACGTGTTTTCCTCATCCTCTTTTGGGGCATCCTGGTCCTGATTATTGGTGCAAGACTTGCCATTCTGGTAATGAGGGTCAAAGTAACCATTCTCGAGAGAGATAACCTGCAATCCGTCATCAACAGAGCGCATATTGCTTATTTTGTATGCATCGCATCTATTGAGATTCTTTGCTCCTTCTTCCTGCTGCAGAAATTCGCATCGGCGAAGAAAGTCTCCCGGGAAGCTTCACTAAATTCAAAGTTTTTCCGATACCTTCTCCAGAGCACGGAAGTCCGAATGACCACGTTGGCGGTCATCGGCACGACACGGGCAGTGACCTATTCATTCCAGCCTTCGATGCAGCAGTCAACAAACACGGTCAGCCAGGTTGACAGGTTTATCTACACTTTTGAGTGTTTATTCCCCATGATGATATAGTAAGCCCTCAGTTGCCGATGAGATGGGTGTGCACGACAAGAACTAACGACTCATTCAGCATCGATCTTCTTGCTTCAAGAGTCAAGTTCACGATTACCCAGCATGAACGATCTATGACTATAATGAGACCTTTGTCCACGCGATCTCTTGCAAACACTCGACCTATCCGCAAGGCGTCAGTCTCTTCGCGCCATTACTTGGAAGGCAATGCGTCAGAGTGTGAGCTGAGACCACTCAGCGAAACAACGTTCGCAGCGGGAGTGGCCAATCTACATGTAGTAGAAAGGCCAGAAAAAGCCAAATGCACATAATCACACGACTTGAAATGATCAACCATGACACTCCATATATACCATATAATAGCATAATAAGATACCATAATCTCAGTAATGACATCCTGATGCTCAATCCCACTGAAATGCTTGCTCAATTTTCAATAATTCTATGTCAGTTGATCAAAAAACATTCTTTACGTTAAGATGGTGCGTGTTTCTCATGTTAGGTATTTTCAAGTGTTGGTGGTGCCTTCACCAGCTTTGGGCTCGCTCACCAGCTTTATGCCACTAATCAAAAGCCCTTTTATGAATTTTATGACAACATATATTGAGCAGGCTTAACTCTCAAAAAATTCATTCTGAAGCGAGATTAGATGGCTCAAATCCTTTTTGGCTCTTCTCTTTCGCTTTGTTATTGAGCTATAGGGTAGTCTGTCGCGTCACGGCTGAGATCGCGTTTCTATGTGTGGATCAGAGGAGAGGTAATCAAGTGGGAACAACAGGGACTCGAAGGTCACCTAAAAAATTATTGTGGCAGTAAGTTGCATAATAAGGCTCTCTATTGTGTCATAGTAGGCAGATAATATTGCTAAATAGTTACTCATATTTTTATTATTATTTATCACTCACTATTGTCTATTAATATCGTGGCCTGCCGTGGAAATTGAGATTGAGACACCTCTGCAGTCCTTGTTATTCTGACGCCCATTTGCGAATCACATTTCAGGTGGGTGGATAAATATTCATATCTCCTCTTGGTCTGTTTGTCAGCAGATGCAGGAAGAGCTGAGTGCTTATTTTATCACGCGTTGCCATTCGTGGCGTCTTCTCCTCAAGTCTACTAAACGCGATCCGGCGATGACAATCAGTTCTAGTGGTAGCTTACTTCGTTTTCGCCTAGCCAATCTGAGATGTCGTTTCTTTGGACTACGTAAGACACTCGGATGGTTGTGCCGTGAGGCATCCAACATCATCCTCTCAAACGGTTCAGTAGAGTTGGCTAAAACCTGACTGCTACTGAGGGTTTATCGACTCTGAGGGAACAATCCTGATCGTTTTCGGATCCATTGAGTTCGTGATGGCGATCTATCTCCAGGAGAATCGAACCTCACCACCCAAAGACCTCATTCAAGAATTCACTACCTCAAATCCTCCGCCAAACTTACCATCAGAGCCTAGCTTTGGACTGGACTCCATATTTGGCCTATGCTTATCGTCCTTCGCTGCCCCTTTGTATCTCTATGCGTCCCTCAAGGGGAAATTTCAAGTCTGGGACGACGTCTTAGCTTCGATACCTGATGAGGTGTTCCATGGCCCTGCACTGGATGTCGGGTGTGGTCGCGGGCTCGTGCTTCTCAAAATGGCTCAACGCAAAAAGCAGCTCGCCGCTGGTGCTTTAGACGGTTCAATATGTCCGGCCTATGGCATCGACATATTTAGCAAGGCGGACCAGACGGGAAACTCGCCGCTTGCAACATATCAGAACGCGGCAGCCATGGGAGTTTCAGAAAACACCGTGCTGCATAGAGCCAGTTTCACTGAACAGCTCCCATTCACCGATGGAGTCTTTTCCCTTGTGACGTCAAATCTGGCGATACACAACGTCAATCGCGAAGGGCAAACCGTTGCCATCAAGGAGATGGCTCGAGTCTGTAAGCCAGGTGGCCGTGTAGTCATCATAGACCTGTTCGGGCATTTTAATGACCATAAGACTGTGCTCCTGGAGCTTGGGTGGAGGGAAGTCAAGATTGAGTTGGTTGGGTTTAGGATGTTGTATGGCGTTCTGCCATGCCAGATCTTGACAACAATGAAGCCGTCACATTGACGGATATTGGCCTCATATCCTCATTAGTTGTGATATTTCACTCATTCCACCTCTGCTGTGTTTTCTATAGTCTGGAGCTTTCACGTGGACTTCTTGGATTGAGATAATACCTCAGGTAGTTGCTAGCCCATGATTTGATCTTGGTCGTCTACTTTGAGCTCCAGCGATTATGCGTTACCAAGTGATGTGAAAACTTAGCACATTTTGCTTACGCTCACACAAATCCCGCCGCTGATCAACGAATACTTTGGCTGGTTCTAAACGAAAAGTCACAAGAGTCAATTAAACTCTCCAAAAAAAATGTTATGCAGCTTAGCCACCTCGTATTTTACTTTTAGATTATTTAGCTGGCAACGAAGATTTTGCGCTACCCGAATCTCCAGTATAACCTTTATAAATAGAGACATAGCGCCAGAATTTTATGCTTGATTTTATTTCTTTACCAGAAAAACACTCTTACAATGGCGTCTAAATCCACCCTCCCGTATCATGCTCGGGCTGCTTCTCATCAACATCCTGTTGCCCGGAAGCTGTTTCATATTGCAGAACAGAAAAAGTCGAATTTGATCATTTCTGCAGATTTCTCTGACACAGACGGTCTTCTGAAATGTGCTGACGGTAAGCATTAATGTGCAGCTCACTATCTGCTCAAAGTCTTAACACCAAATACCTTAATAGAACTTGGGCCTTATATTGCTGTATTCAAGACACACGTCGATATTATTCACGACTTTGGCGAGAAGACAATAGTTGGATTAAAGAACCTTGCGGCGAAACATAATTTCATGATTTTTGAGGATCGAAAGTTTGTGGACATTGGATCGACAGCCCAGAAGCAGTACCATGGCGGCGCACTCCGGATATCTGAGTGGGCAGATATTGTGAACGTGAGTCCTCTTGGAGGCGGGGGCGTCGTGGAGGCGCTGGAGCAAGTCATTTTCAACGAGACGTTCCCATATCGCGACGAGAGAGCCGTTCTTCTGCTTGCCGAGATGACCACTGCTGGTAGCCTTGCTACTGGTCAATACACTCAGAAATGCATCGACATTGCAAAACAGAGCGGCGTTGTTATTGGCTTCGTGGCTACCGGAGCACTTGGTGCTGTTGATCCTGATCTAAATACATCTGCACAAGAGGATTTTATTATCTTCACTACCGGTGTTAATAGCTGTCAATCTGGGAACATCCTGGGACAGCAATATCAAACCCCAGAGGCAGCTGTTAAAGGAGGTTCTGATTTTATCATTGTTGGTCGGGGTATCTATACATCGGATAATCGTGTCGAAACTGCTAAGCAGTATCAGAGGGAAGGTTGGAATGCCTATGAAGCTCGCATTGCGTCGTAGAGACGATGTTTGGGAATCAACGCTACAGAATGAGGTGATCCGGTAGTTTTTTGCTCTTTACGTGAGAGATCCTTGAAAACTCTTATCACTTAGTCTTATTAGTCTTAAGGGCACACTTCTATAGCAATTAAAGAATGAAGCTGAGTTGATAGAGCTAGCATGTTCGTTGTTACGAATGGATTACTTGAGCAACTGCCTGTTTCATCTTTTTTTTTCTGAAAAAGAGAACGAATTAAAAACAAACAAACAAAGGGACCTTGAGCATGGCTGAGCCACCCATACTATGATCTAAGTCTTTATAATAAGGTGACTAAAGTTATATATATAGAATACTCGAACGAATAAAATCAGGCCTCATAAGAACTAGCCCAACCACAGCGAAAGCCTGCGCGTACGCTCGTGGCAAGCCGGCTGTAAACTCTACCAACAATATAGGGCTCCCATAAAATGATTGATCTAAATGTGATTTCATTCAGTTGCCTAATTGTACGACTCACCTCACCGAAGAAAGACTAAGCGGGACCAATACTAAGACGACACATCCAAAGTGTGCCAACAACGAACCATTGATTGGCTCTTATCCGATACCTGTATGCTGTACTGCAACCCCTTTTGGTATAATGGCTCTTCATGATAGGATCAATTCACGTGGCACTTCACTCTGTACCTCCGTGCCACCAACGCAAAGATGCTCAACGTTGTTGCCCTGAGTTTCAATGCTATAAAGGGGGCAGCTAAGGACCGTATCTTGCCTCTGCTTGGCCACTTCGTCCATGATATACGTGTTCATCCCCTCTTTTATCATCATTCTTTCGCCTAGAAAACAATTTACCCGCTTATCCTCGACCTTACTCATCGTGTTGAGTTGTCGTTCCTGGCAACTTCCATTGCTGCTGAACATTACTCTCCTTCTCTTACGAATCGTCGACCCAACTTGGTTCGACTTCATCTGAATTTGCAGCAACATGAGTACCAAAATGAACGAAACCTGTATGATCTTCGTGGACATCTCTAACGTCTGGATCGAAGCCCAAAAGTTCGCTGCCTCGGGCAAGAGCCGCTTACCCAAGCTCCAAGAGTGCGACCAAGATCCGCGCTATAGAGTCGACATCGGCAAGCTTGTCAAGACAATCTCGAATGGTCGCTCGGTGAAAGGTGCATTCCTTTACGGCTCGCGCCCGTCACCCAACGACGCAGAATGGAACTCATACGAGAGGTTCGGGTTCAAGGTCAATGTGTATGACCGCGCTAAGAATGGAAGGGAGAAACAAGTGGACACCTCTATGGCAGCGGATATTAGCCGCCAAGCAAGCATGCTCGAAGTTGGCGCAATATATGACGAGGAGATCAAACAGCAACTGGAAAATATGACATTCATCGTAATCTCCGGAGATCTCGACATGCTCCCGTCGATCGTGATAACACTAGAGTGTGGCATCCCCGTCGAGGTCTGGGCCTGGGAGTCAGGCATGTCTAATGAGTATAAAAGGAGAGAGGACAGCAACCTGCGCGTGTCTTATCTGGACCAAGTAGCCAACAGAGCATTATTTGCCAGCACATGCTCCACCCAAACGGGCAAGATAGTCGAGGTGGATAAAACTGTTGTCCTTTGCGAGCTTGCTACCGAACAAACTGAATCCGTCGATGCCCAGACTAAGCCTTGGCGTGGGTGGGATCTTCCCAAACCATTGATCAGACAAAGTGAGCATAAGTGTACCGACCCGGGAGCATTCGACGAATGGGAAACAGTCGGGTCTCGAAACGATCTAAGGAGAGCCCATCGTCGCACTATGCAACGAACGCAAGCATGCCCCTATGGCCTGCACTGCAGGGAAGCAGGTGCATGTGGCAATTACCATACTGACAAGGAGAGGACACTGTTTCGAGACTTCCCGAGCCTGAATTTCGCGAAGTGGAGGACTTCCCGGTGCCGTAGTTACCCTCACTGTCCCAGGGGGACTCAATGTGCGTTTGCCCACTCCGACGCTGACGCTTGGTGCTCGAAGTGCCATAAACAGGGTCATTATGAAGACGGATGTCGGTTTGGAGTCCGGAAAAAGACCTAATAAGTAGACTTGCATTCCGCATATCGTGGCCAGCAATGCCTAGTATACATGTATATTGCACACAATTCATTACAGCAGTCAGTTCGTATCGACATCAGGGGAAAGGATGACAGACTTGGATGTTTATTGGAATCTTTTGGTTGAGACTAGCGGGATTGTTTTGACGATAGCTAAGATCTTCTTTCATATATACTTTGTATCTCTTTTTATCTGCCCAAGAGCACCATCTCTTCATGATCCTTTGCTGTTTCATCCACATCAAGCCCTCCTAAGCCTAGCCCTCGTGTGAACACTTTAATTGAACCTTTGTAGCATCGGGGTTAGCCAAAATGAGGCGTTTCCGATACCAAAGTTCCATGGGATCGTGGCGCAGTGGCCCGCCGTACTTACAATAAACTCACCGCATGTCTACATCAGGGGCTCACCCTTTCTTTCTTCCGTATACCCGTATACTTCCCTTCCTGTGTCATTCGACGGTGAACCTCCCCTTGATGTCTAAATTCAAGAAATCACTCTCCGACAGAACAGCCTTCGGGCGATTCATGTCAGGGGTCTCCTCAAAACTTTCCCCGATTCGGTTTCTCGACAAAATCTCAACATATCTACAGCAAGACCTCTCACCTCCTCTTCAGCTCGCAGCAATTCTTACAGTGTCCATCGCTAGTCTTTCATTCGCGGGCTTTCTCTTAACCATGAGTCTAGAGGATCAAGGCTTTGTCCCAAAATCATCCCGAGTTAGGTGGATACCAGTATTTTGCGCTTTCCGTTTCTGGGATCACATGTTTAAGCGCCGTCTTGTCAAAAGCTCCTATGGTGGCTTGGGGGTGATACAATGCATCGGCGATTTGGTTCGCTATACTGACGGCAGGATTCCGAAGCACACAGTGTATTTACATATGATGAGTCTCGATCCCACGAACTTGATCTTTCTGCTTGATGATTTTGATACCAAGTGGAATGATGTCAGGCCTCGATTCGAAGATCTGCTGGGCAAGTGTGGAATGTTTGGCATAAGCGCGATGTCGGTGTTGGATATTTTTATGTCTTTGATGTCACAGCTTTCAGTCTATGCCTGGATGATTTATCGGGCGATCAAGGTGTGGCATTATTTTCCCGATGTTAGCCGTGGTCAACTCGAGAGCGAGCAGGAAATACAGACATACCAATGGTGGGCGAGTGGTGGTGCGGTGGTTCATTTGATTCTTTCCAGCGGGATATTCCTGATGGAAACATGCCCTATTATTGGGACTCTTACGAACAGACCAGTTTTTGTGTCTGGTGTAGGTTTTACTACTTCCCTTATGATACCAACTCCGACTGACGAAATACAGGATACAAGAGACGCAGCTCCTACGAAACGACTTCCGCGAATTTTGCGGCATATCTTTAACATGATTTTGGTCGGATATCTAATTATGTTCTCAGCAAAGGCAAATAACGCTTACTTCTTCCTTATTGTAGCATGCTTGTTCTCTGGTTGGCTCTTTAACTGTATGTTGGTAGTCGAGCCCAGAAACAAGAATGACCATGGCAAGAAAGCCGAAGTGGCAGACGGGGAGAAGTCCTCTCTGTCTTCTGGCTAAAGGAAGTTGCTAGAGGATGAAGCTCCCATTGTATTAATCCCGTTCTCAAAACCAATCGAGCGCGTAGATGACAACAACTTTTCTGTGCAAACAAAAACACCACATCCGCCCCAGAACTTTGACTTTCACACCGTAGGTATGCGCCACATCCTGGATGAATCTCCAACCTCTTCTCCCAATTATTGCTCCCGAAGCATTCAACTCGTTGAGAGCGTCGGTGCGAGATGCAGGGCCCTATTTTCTTTTTGACCTGCGATGGAACTCGATATGTATCTAATGTTAGCATGGTTAAGTAAATCGTACTTCAGAAGAGAATTTGTCTCCGATGATTTGTTTTAGGATGAGATTTAAGGAAGAGAAGGCCTCGAAAGTTAGAAGTGGAAGTAAAATGGTGAGATGACTGGAGAGTCGGGAGGTTTAGTGATAGTTATCATTCGATCATTGCTCAATTACGGGTAAGAAAAGATGAGACTTTACACCGGAGAGGCGCGTGCTAGATCTTGTCCGACCCGCGCGGTCACTCCTACGTTCACGGGTTAAATTAACATAAAGGAACGTAGGATTCAGACCCTGTCTAGTAATCTTGCCGCGCGTTGTTGAACACGCACAGAAATTCTTCTGTTCCTGCACATGGTCTTCGCAAACCTTAGTTGCGGCAGCTTGAAAGGCTGAGTATATTGGCATTAATGCAAGCACAGCTTGTTTTTCATCCTGTTGGGCTTAGACCATCACACAGGGCTGGTTGTTTGTGATCGAGTTTCAAGATTGCGGTGAAACCATCAAGCTGCGGCCACTGTAACAATGCATCATCATGCACGCACTGCCGGATTTCCTTCCAAAAGACCCTACTCTAAATGACTATCTTCTTGATAATTTGTTGGGACGGTACCAGGCGACTCGGAGAGGACATCACGTTGTCATCTCAGAGTACAATGACATCTTCGCCACTGCGCAGCGCTCAATGACACCGAAATGCAGATCTCATGGCCCCTGTTTGCCTCCTCCAAAGCAATACCCCGTAACATGACCGTGCAGACCGAGTCATGCGGCATTGACAGCCGCCTACACGCACTCCACCACTTGAGACGACGTGTTTTACCACCAGGTACGAGTCGTAGAGTAATTATTAGAAGGACTGCTCGCCTCTCCCTCTTCAAGCTCTGATCCCCCTTTAACGCGTCGAATTGTCTCGCCTGACTGCACAGCATTTGTGATACGTCATACATCAATAAGATCCAAGACATTTGTGATTCATAAGAGCTGATGGGGATATTTAGTCACAACTCCCCCAAGTTAAGACGAAAGGCTACCCATATAAGACTCGCCTGGGAGCCCACATTTGATGAACAACAACCAGACGTTACTAGCAAGACAAAGCACTGACACTCAACCAGTTTACCTGAGTGCTTCGGTCCACAACATCTTCCTTTCGACTCACCACATTTCCAGTTGCTGGCCATTCGACTGCCTGCATTATCTTTACCCTCACACCGCTCATTGAGCAGAACAACTGCCGTCTTTGGAACTTAGACCATTGAGTCTGAAAAGAACAAGTTAAGATGAATGCCATCCTGAGCACCCTCATCTTCCTGGGCTCCGCGCTCGCCGCCCCATCCTCCGTCGAGCTCACCGCCGAAGAGCTCTCCTGCCGAAACGCATCCCGCTCCATCCTGAGCTGGAACATCATCGACTTCGACTTCCACTCCTCCTACACCTTCTCCACGCCCTCCCACCAGATCGCCGGCGGCTATGTCAACTTCACCCTCGAGAACGCCGCCCTCGAGTACAGGCCCGTCTGCGCCGCGTCCTCCACCCAGCTCCAGGACTTCTTCTACGGCACCGTCGTCTACGACTGCCAGATTCCCCCCAGCGCCCCGCGCGACGCGGCCTCGTTCAGCTTCAACCGTGCCACGGGGGAGGTGCTCGTCAACCAGACGTGGGTCTGCGGGGACGGCGGCGGCAAGTTCACGGCGAGAGGTGGGACGAGCTTCAATCTGGCCTGCTCCGACGAGACCTGGCAGAACCCGGACTGGAAGGATGGAGAGCTGTACTCTACGCGGAACGTGTCGTGTGCCAAGGTGAATGGGACGGCGTCGATTAACCAGATTTCCGGCTCGACGAGGGTGTTGTCGTAGGTGACGATGCTGGTGACGGGTTGTGTATCTCGGTTTATGTAACCGGAAACCGGAAAGATGGGTCGAGAGGAATGGCTTAGGTGCTTGTGGGTAGCGGTAATCTCACAGCGATCGACATTTGTTCTAGTAGGAACCTCATGATCAAATCAGAATTCAAGAAATAAGGCAGAACACCCGTCGCTGATTCTCACTCCCGGCCCGTAACCGTGACAGGGTGTGATCAACGCCTACGTGTGATTCCGTCAACGTACCGCCGGAGGGCCGCAATACGGACCCAAAAGCCGGCTCAGCATCTAGTGTCTTATTGAAAACGACCACGGGGTGGATAATCGGGAAATGTGTCGTAAGGCGTAGGTTTACTGCCTTGATGGGAAACCGGGGTGATGTGGTCGGCGCCGATGCCGGAGGGAGTGCCAGGGGGAGGTGGAGTAACTATTTGACTTCATATCGGCGCCAACATCATGTTAAGATGCCGAATAGGTCCGGTTCATGGGAGGCAGTACGGTTGTTTTGGTTGGAGTCTGTTTATCAATAATTTGACTGGAAAGGTGCACCTTTTGTCATAGTAGAAACAAGCAACTGGGATAAGGTAGTACAACTATTGTTTTCATGTACCGAGGAGATGAAGTCCGATCCTGCCGATTGAGTGATAGATATTGCTGTACTTGATAAATTCCAAGTCACATGAATGCTATCTGTTTAGAGAGTAATACATGTATTGGGGTGCGCATATCCGATTTGTGGCATGGTAGCATTGGGACCACCACATCCTTGCATTATTGCTTGTAATATAGCCAGTGTTCTTACTAGTGGAAGCCGCAGCAGTAGATATATATAGATCTATGCAGATGAATATGCATATAGAAACAGGCGAGACATATTATTACATCTGCTAGCCAGAATTCAAGGTGACTGCTGCGGATGGGAAGGCGTCTGAAAGTACGTCTTCGTACATCAAGAGTGAGTCGCTCTTACAAATTATGGATGGGGCATACTTGATGGTTAATCAAATGCCACGTGTAATAGCCAAGTCCAACATCAAAATCCTGGAAGGACCCCATGTCGCCTTGGGCAAGCAAACATCTTGTAGGCGGCCGCCTCACGACTTGTGAAAGACTTGACGGCTTGGCTGGGACATAATTAACACAAAGGACATTGTCAATTTTTGAAAATTTTGATAGAAAATAACGGGCACAAAATCTCGTCATCGCTTGGCAGTATTAGTGTCCTGCCCCGTGAAGCCTGGTCTCCTTTGTTTAGACGAACTTTTGTCTTTGCGCCA